TATTTATAAGAGTTAATATAAGAATTACTCTTCGAGAGTATATCTACAAGATATAAAAGCAAAAAATGAAAAAAAAAACAAAAGAAAAAACACAAAAATTAAAACGGGAATCAAATAATATATTTAAATGCATATATACATGTACATACAACGTACATATGTATATAATAAAATTGTAAGTAATAATATTGAGAGATTGTTGGGATTTTAGTACAAACAACAAAATACAATAAAAATGTAATCAAAGAAAAATTAATATAAGAACAAAACTCAATTGAAATATCGAATATTAAGCCTTTGTGTACGGTATGTACACTGGCAATACATATGTACATATCGTATGAAAGCAAGTATGTACCCACATATTATCTTTTAACAACAATAGTCTTCTCAGTTAAGAATTGATTAAGCCAATCGATATAAAGATTTATTTGCACTAAATATGTACAGTGCGATCCATTTGTTGCAGCCCTTTTTATTCAATAATTCCTATTTACAATGGCGGAGTGCGGCCCGATACTTTTATATAACTGAGCTTTTACTCGTATCGCACAGTGTTTCAAGCTGAAATTATGCGACAGAGTTTTGTCTGAGAGTAAATTTAGAGAGAGATCGCCGCCGTGTTTGGCGCTCCAAACGACATATCCAATCTATTAGATCCAAACTATGGTGGGGAGTTATACCCTAATTAAACCGACATCACTTGTCAGTTGTCATATGATCATCGAATTTACCATTCGTACAGCGTGGTCTCTTATAAGTGTTGCCTGCCATTAAGGATTTGACTTTTTGTTAAAGGTTGAATCGAAATTTTACTGGAGGACTTTGAAAGGATCCTATGAAGCGAAATTATTTCTTTCATCTTACTCAAGGAAGAAGCGTTGTTGAGGATGGATCAAAATCGGGTTCGTGGTATTACTAACTTCTTCATTGAACATTGATCACAGAACTATCACTTCCACAAACATATTAAATCTTCTTTTGTGTAGATTCTGCCGAAGTATATGTGCCCTATATGAAAAGACCGCCATGCCCATTTTAGGTGATTATTCCGCTCTGGTTCCCTAATTAAATATTAGGTTGAGTTCATAATATTTGCATTAAAACTTTTTCATCACTGTATGTACATATATTGTGTTTGCATAAATTATAAATATATATTGTATTATGTAAAAATAAATGTATGTTAGATTACTTTTTTGCTTTAGGAAAAAATTCATTATATCGCACAATATACATTTAATTCTCAAACACATATACACAATATATTTTGACATTAGGTTTGCAATGATGTGTTAGCCAACGGCACCGCCGCTGTTGTATCTGTTCTGTATATAATTTTCTGTTCATGATTGGGATTTGTTTTTAATTTAGCCTTTAATGTAATTTTTTTCAAATTATTTTTTGTACTTTTATTTTATTACTACTACTGTCTGTTGCTGGATATAGCCTTATTGCTAACGCCCCCGTTTTTAATTAGTAAATAGCTTTTACTTATAAGTTACGTTCTTGAAAATTTAAAGATCGCATTTTTTTTTTGTTTCTTGATTATAAGGTACACTTAGCAATCAATTCAGCGATGGTTGATTTTATTCTTCATTGAAAAAACAAACAAGTTAAATTAAAATGATCAAAATCTAAATGTTTTTTTTTTTTTGTTCTCTGATACTGGCAATACTGATAACAGAAAATGTGGAAATTATAATATATTTATTACATATTTATTCACAAATTATAAGGTTACATTTAGGCATAATATTTGCATAAACAAAAACAGGTGTGATTTTTGCATAAATATTTCCAGTAAACAATAGTTTCATTATAAATTAAAGTGAAAAATCCATATTTTTTTTGTTTCCAATTAAAAATTTATCATTAAAAAACTTTTTGGTATAGCCAAAATAATTCTGACTTTATATTTTATAAGCAAAAAATACAATATGTAATGTCAGCAGAGTATTTTAGCAGTAAGCACTTGGGCTTTTAAATCACTTAGAATGAATAATAAAATTATATTTTTGTAAGTAGTGCACATTTTTAATTGTTACTTTTTGTCTGAATTTAGATTTTTAAAATTTCTCGCATATTGCATATAATAACGTTCATACAATTATTCTGAGTTATATGAAAATTTGAAATTTCGAAGGTGAAGTCTGAATTTATTTATATGCAGATATCTTACTATAGGAATGATACGCGCAGCATCGGGATTCATATATAGTATCCTGCAATCCACAAAAAGTTAAATAATTGCATATAGGTCTATTTTTACTTGATATTCATTTATATTATTAAATTTTTTTTATAAATTATCAGCCCTGTCATGAATTTCGTTCATAACTCCGAAATTCGAAAAATTGCGAATTTAATATTCTCAATTCCGAGTTACTAAAATTCTATTAAGAATATTCGTAATAGAATAATCATAAATTACGTTCGCAGTAAAAATAACCTTCAATAGTCTAATACTCACACGTAGCACTCAATTTAAAGAGAGTGGTTGTTATAAATTTTCAAGTTTTCAATGTTTTTGCTTGAATTTGAGTTCTTTCAAAACAGCTACCACAAAACGAAATGAATTCGTATTTGCTAAAAAAATTTTTCTCCACTTTTCAAAATAACTCAAAAACGAAAAAAAACTGCAAACTCCGTTTTTAAAAAAGATCCATTTTTATGAAAGTTTTGTATTCAAATAGCAACAAAAAACAAATAAACCTTTGACAGTTGAAATAAAGTACTGATTTTGGCACTCCGAGAAATTGTGCTGCCATTGCTGATTCATAATGTCTATGAAAGAAATTTTTGATCATTTAAAAGTCTACACCGTAGCTAAATTCATGATAGAGCTGCGTGTTTTATTCCCTTGCTTCAAAATTTCTATTCTATGACTTATTCTAAGTTGTAAATGCTGCTGCTTAAACAATGCTGTTCTATAACTACATTCATTATTAAATATTAAAAGTTTAAATATAATTAATAATTTAGTTATATATATAACAGTATTTATCCGGAAAATTTTGAAAATCTTATCGCTAACTCAATATTTCTTTCATATAATTATAGATATAGAAATTTTCTTTAAGATTAATTTTTAATCTACAATAATAATACTATAAATAATGTTTTCTCTTAATATGGTAATTTTGTAAAAAAAAAAAACAAAGAATGTACAATAAAAATTTAAAATTATATAGAATTTATTTTTATAATTTTTGCTCTTTCTTTTTTGAAAATAAAGTTACAATATTTTGCAATACTTTATACTTTTAATATGTTTAAAAATTATACAAATATAATTAAGATTTCAGGAAAATACGTGATTTGTGTTGCGCGGCGTCTGTTCCATTATAATTTTATTAAGTATGTGACCGAAAAACACGTCCTCTTTTAGTTTGCATACAATTTGATAATATTAATAATATTAAATTATATTTACAAAAAGAACACTGTAATATTCTTTAATCAAATTGACAAAACTTGTAAACATTTTCGAAATAATCTGGTTATATTTATTTTAAATTGCATATATTGTGTACATGAATAGGTATTATATAATACATATTTGTGACATTTATATGTACGTATGACGTATACGAGAGAAAAACGTTATATCGTATGTCAACAATTTAAAATTCAAAATGACACATGATAATAGTAATTTGCTTTTTCATACTTACATAATTCTAGATAGAGAAGATCAAAATCAAGAAATACTACAAAAAAAATAAAAAGAAACTTATAATAATGATTAGGTTTTTCTTACAAGGAAAATATTTTCGTGTTAATATTATTATGCTCAAATAATATACCATATATGAATGATATATGTAAGAATGAAGAAAAAAAAATCGCGCTTTCCAACGAAAAAAAATATTTTTTGTATTCTCTGTAAATTAAGCATTTAAATTAGGATAAAAGTCAACTATAAATCTTATTGTTTCATATGCCTATCATCAAATTAAACCCACATTTATTTTAATACATACACATATACATATATAAAGGAACTCATATATTCTCGTACATTTTGTTTTCATTCTGATAATGCATTTTAGAATACATGGGACATTGTACTTAATTTAATTCTCGCAACTCTTGTGATTTCTGATTTTCTTTGTAAGCCGCTTCGTTTACTTATTTTTTTTTTTTTTTTGGTTTTTTTTTATAGTTTTCATTTTCCTGTGCTTTATATTAATTTAAAATAAATCAAGTAACTTTACTCTTTCGGTCAAGGATTTTAATATATTTCTACATTTATGTACGACGTATTTGTATTTTTATAATGGAATGTCCTATATATAAATATGAATACAGGGTTGTTCATTAAAGGTCGATTATTTTTAAAAAAAATAAAAAAATATTTAAATTTTTTTTAAAAATAAGTGAAAGCTATGGTTATGATAATAAAACGGTATAAAGTCGTATTTTTTACAATAATTTATTTATAAATACGAGCACCTTAATTGCATAGCACAATTCAACAAGTACAATAATTCATAAGGCGAATTCTGCTTCAATACCGTATTAATTATTGTAAGTTTAAAGTCAGGAAACCACAACGTATAACAATATATTTTCTCGACATATGTCCATTTATTGAGCTTCTACAACAATAAAGGGCTAAAACATCATATAAATAGTTAGCGCAAAGTAATATAATTTTAAATTCTTAAATATACTCATAGCCACATAAATACAGCAATTACCTCTATTTGACTAATTTACTACTGTAAATTAATTTATAATAGTTTATTTAATCCTGTACTATTCAGAATTCAAGCTACTTCAGAAATTTGTATTTTTGCTAAATTCACCAGTTCACATCTATTCCGTTATGTCATCAATATAACTTATAATGATACACACTATATTAAATTTATTAAACGTTTTTTATAACAACTTATAACAATAATAAAATTACAAAATAATGGTATACCAAAAAAAAAATTAATTTCAATTCTTCTTTCTGTTTCTTTTTGTTTCTTATATTTATTTATTAGATGAAAATTCGTCACAATCATATGCTTTATTTACCGACAACCATAATGTTATTTACTTTATGGGTTATTATTAAGCCAGTTGCAGTATCAACAACAAATGGCAATAGTGGAGGAAGTTCTGGTTCCAGTACATTTAATACTGGACGAAGAAAAAAATCTGGCGGTAGTGATTCAATTTTAGAAATGATGGACTCAAAAAAAATAGAAAAATTTTTTGAAGAGAAACGTTTCAATATGAGTTTAGCTGCATCAAGATCATCACCTACATTAAATGAAAATAATCCGATTATAATTGAAAATGATTTAAATGAAGAATTTATAGAAAATTCCTCACCTTCATCATCTTTATTTCATCATAATCAACATCAACATAAACAACGTCAACATGGAAATACCGGAAATAATGGTGTTAGAAATGATAGGTAAATTCTATTTTATAAAAATACATACATTACATTTATAATTATATTATTATTTTTTTTTTTGAAAAATATTTACTTATTATAGATATAAAATTCATAATAGACGTCGACAACATTTAATTGAACGTCATCATGATGATTTTGATTACGATACGACCGCATATGATACAACAGTTGCAAATAGTCAAAGGAAAAAGCATCATAATTCGGATAATTTACAAATGGATCAATTATTACCATATAACGATACATTATTACCAACTGATTCTACAGTTTCATTGGATACAATAGATTCAAAACAATTTTCGGTTGATCAAATATTAAAAACTACCAACGATGGTGTTTATTTAACTAAAAAAGAATTTTTACAAAAAGATTGGTGTAAAACTGAACCTTTAATACAAAGAATACGTGAATCTGGTTGTATATCACGTCCATTTGTAAATCATTTCTGTTATGGTCAATGTAATTCATTTTTCATACCAAAAGAACCAAAAGAAACGAAAAGAAGAAAGCATAATCGCCGAAAACATGGTAATCGAAATAATGTTCATCACAATAATAACGGTAATAACAATAATGGTAATAATAATAATAATGGTGTTATTACAAATAATAATAATAGCACTAATAGTAATGGTTCAATTGTAAGCTCTTTAGCGCAAGCTGGTTATTTGGAAGATGAAGATTTAACAATACCACAATTTGAATCATGTGGATTTTGTAAACCAAAGAAATTTATTTGGGTAACAATTACACTTCGTTGTCCATCAATGGTACCACATATTCGTAAAAAAAGGATTCAAAAAATCAAAAGATGCAGTTGTATGGCAATGCCAATGGAGAAATATTAAATTGAAAAAAAAAACAGATTTTACGTAAGAAGAGGATTAAAAATAAAAAATGTATAAATATTTTTGTATAAAAATAAATTAAAATAGCAAGCAAAAGTAGGAAATGTATATGTATGTATAATATGTACTATACTCTATGATAGTGGAAAATTAAAAATGCCGCAATTTAACATTATGTTTGTTTTTAAATTGTTAACAATTTTCAAATGATAAATGAGAAAAATTAATAATATAATATGTATAGAGTAAAATATATAATATATATATGTATATAAGTAGAGAAAGGTTCACAAAAATTTTAATATCTTAACCTGAATTCCGAATAATTTATTTTTATAAAATACCATTTTAAAAACAAAATTAAAAAAGTCTGTAAAAGCGCTGACAAATATTTGGATTTTATACTTGAAGTTGTACAGATATTCTATTACTAGTCGGAATCAAATTTTAACAAGAACTCAAAATAGCCACTTAAATTACAATTACAATAAATTGCAATTTTTTAGAAAAATTTTTAAACGAGACTAAACTTAAATTCAACAAAGGAGAAAAAAAATTAAATTTGAATTTTTTCGGGCTCGGTCATTTGGAAAAAAAAGTACCGGAACGTTCTTTTGCAAAAATTTCGTAAAAATAATTAGTTGTTTATCATTTTACAAAAAAATTACCGCAAGTATACATTATGTCAACAGCTTGTGCTTTTTGGCACAAATTTTTTTTTGTAAAAATTAAAAAGAAACTTAAAAAAGAAGAAAAATATTTTATGATATTTTACATTAAATTCATTTCCATTCAATTTCAACTTTATTTTGAATTAGAACAATTTGTAATTCAGGGGATGATATATTAAATACAAAAAAAGCTTTAATTATAGAGGTTTCAATAAAAGTTAATAAATATCAATTAAATTATATTAGATTTGCTTATATTATATATATATATATATATATAATATATATAAATAATTTTAATTAAAATTACAATTATTATATTTTTTATTAATAATAGTGTTTAGTGTAAAAGAAACAACTCAATTACATTTAAATTAAAATACATTTATTATTATATTATCATTATTATTATTATTTTTTTATTTGAAAATTGTATAATAAAATTTTCTAATCTGTGATCTGAGTTATTTAGTAGTTTAAAAATGAATAAAAACAAAAATAAATTAAATAAAAAAAAAGTATTTAATAAAAAAAAATATATTTATGATATTCACTGTATAGATAAATATTTATAAAAAGAAAATCATAAAAAAACAAATTTATTTTGTAGTTTGTTAATATAAAATATAGAAAATCAAATAATAATCATAAAATTAATTGTATATTAATTCTAATAATAATTATTACATTTAAAGTTTTTGATATATTTTCGAATAATATTGTAATTAATAAATTTAATTTATATAAATTCCATTCCTTTTATTTATACAAAGGAATGCGTAATTTATTAAAGAACGCAAAAAAAAAATTAATAACTTAATTAATATATGTACACAGGTATTCTCGGTCTTCAAAAATGCAAAAAAATAGTAGTTTACACACTATTCAGCTTATGAGTTTTTTAGGTGAACTGTGTAGTAATGCAAGTAATGAAATCATAAATTACATAAAAAATTTACAAGAAGGCATAATTTTTAATTTACATTAAAATTTTTGAAAATTTCATTTTAAAATGCTAATAATAGAATTTAATTTTTCTATAATTGTACGATTCTTAAAAGCTAAAAGTCATTATTTCGTAAAGAAATGTTACTTTCCTCCTCTTTGGAAAACTGTTGAGATTTGCTCATAATATAAACGTAAATAACATAGTAATAACTAAAACAAAAACAAATATAATATGTAAATTTACCGAAATATATTTATAATTACTTTCTAACGACAGGGAAATGATATGAATTTTGTTTTATTAGAATTGGATAGTGTTCTATATACACTATCACTACACACTAGTGATTTTTACACATTATAATATTTTAAACAAACCTAATTACATCCATGTACAAACTTTGATATTCAAAATTTTGACTAACAGCTCTAAAGCTTAGAAATTTTAATTATTAAATCTTCAAATTTTATTTTAATATTTTCGTTTTAAAATATATATGAAGATAATCTGTTTAAATGCATTTATGTATTTCTAAAAAATTTTTAAATTAAAAATTATTATAAATTAATGTAAAACAATAAATTCTTCAACAGTTTTTGCTACATTTTATTCACTGTATAATTGTCATATAATTTCTTTAAACTTTAATATTATTAAATTTTTTAAAATTCAATTAAAATATTAATTTTAAAAAATACCGTGACAAAAATTTACGGTTATACTGCTCATTGGTACACAATTACAGATATTATAACTTATAATCTGAATTAGTGTATCGGTACCGTATTGATAAAATGTTGAAGTCAGAAATTTTACATAACTGCTTTCAATCTTTTTTAAAATATTTTGTATAACTACATTAATTTTCTTTTAATAGAAATTTATATAAATGTATTCAAATATCAAAAATTATAATATGTATATTAATATTGGTTAAATCTTTTTAATTATAATTTGTATATTTACGTTAATTTAATAATAAAATAACTAAATTATAAAGAAATCAAAATAGAAATGTGACAATCGTTTTTAAATACTGTAAAATCATAATATGTCTTAATTTATTTGAAATTAAAATAATATCATGTAATATATGTTATAATTAATATTATTAATTGCTACACATATACATTCTTTTAAAATTAATTTGTATTTTATTCTATAATTAATCATAAATTATTAAATTTTTAAAAATATTCAACTGGAGTAGTTTTAATTATACCAAATTCTTAAAAAAATGAACGTTCCAATCCTTTAATCAAAACACCGAAACCATTAAAAGAATCACTATTTTATAACAAAAATTAAAAATAGTATTTTTGAGTAAAAACACAAAAAGTATTAATAAAGATTACAAAAAAAAAACCTTGAAATCTTGAATTAAAAATTAAATGGTTTGAAATTAATTCATCCTAGTTAATATCAATTCTTTTACAATCATAACATATTGTATGACCTTCAGGAAGTATAACAAATATAGTGCTTGTATCTTTAGCAGTTTCCTTAATTTTTTTATCAATCGGAGCATCCATTATTTCACATGTCTTGGAATTATCATTGTAAGTATTTATTTTTGTAATTGCCCATTCAGTTTTTATAAGTTTTCTTCCATCGACTTGAACTAAATACTCAAAATTAGAACTATGTGACGAAGATTTTTTAATTAATTTACTTTCGATTAAAGATGTTTCCATAGAATCTATCGATTTTGGACTTAAAATATTAGAATTGATGCCATTTATATCTGTTATTGTTGTTTGATCTTTTTTATCATCTATTATTTGATTTGAAAATTTTTGATACGGTTGATCATTTAATAAAGCTTCATCTATCACATTTTTTTCAATTCGTTTAGACAGATCTATTTGGGAGTTTTCCGAGCTGTCAGTTGGATTTATTTCATAATTTGGGTAAAAATAATATAAAATTTTATCTACCAATGATATAATTGGTTCATCTAAATAATAAATAATTCGTTGCATTTCCCTTTCCTAGAACGATATTTCTTTGAAATAAAATATTTGTTTAGATGAATACATTTTAAATGTATGTTTTCTATTATTTTTAGCTTCGAAAATTATTTTTTAATAATTTAAAATTCAATTTTGATTAACATTTCCAAAAATAAGATATGCATACTTGCTTTTTTTTTGTAGGATATGTACAAACATGCATATTTAAGATGTTTAGTATTTATAAAATCTTTAAATCTATATAGAAAACGAATTGAGTAGCATATGAGTGAGTAGTTGAATTACCTATGTATAATATATCGAACATATGCCTTAAAAAGATTTTCAATAAGAATAAATTATCAAACCTCTTTCTGATATACAATTCAAGAATATGTGATTATCAAATTTATTTAGTTAATTAAAGCTTTAGCATTTCTGCATCTTTTAATAACACTTCAATTTTAAAGAACAAGACAGCAAAATTTATAAAAAATATCCAAGCAACTTGTTGAAGAACACTTTTGAATTTTTTATTTGAACATATGTAGGTATGTAAACCTATAAAATATTATTTATATATATTGTATATTATTTTTTTTATACTTATAATGATTAACAATTTGTTGAGTAAATAGCTTTAAATTTAAAACGTATGTATGTTATTCAAAGTTTATAATACACGAGGTACATTTAAACAAATTATTTCTTATCACAAAACAGATAACAAAACTCCAATTATAGAAAAAAAAAATAAAATAATATTTTATATAATGTATACAAAAACAATAATATGAATAATTCACATTCATACATACATACATATATCCCTCATATTTTTAATCATACATTTCTCCTGAAAATATTTTTCGTTTCGTTATATCAATCTGGTTTGTCTTTTCGTTTTTAAATTTTCCACTTTTGAATAACTTTGTCCATTCGGAACCTTCTGGATATTTAAACATTTGAATAGCTTCTCTTTTTAATTCTGTGCTATAACCGGGCCAATCGGGTGCAATATAATTTGCAGCTTCATTTACAATAGCTGGTTTAATAAATTGATCATGCTGTTGGTCAACATATTCAATATATCGTCCATCTTTAGTTCCTGATAAACTAATATAGTCCCACATTTGTAAATGTTGTACCATTTCACATAATCCTACACCACCAGCATGTGGACATACTTTGATATTAAATTTTTTTGCCATAAAATATACTGAAAGAATTTCATTAACACCACCTATTCGAGCTGAATCAATTTGACAAAATTGCAAAGCTTCAATTTGTAAAAATTGTTTAAACATAATCCTATTTGCGCACATTTCACCAGTTGCAACACCAATACCAAATTCTTTCAGTGCGTCAGAAATACGTTTATGTCCCAAAATATCATCGGGCGATGTCGGTTCTTCAATCCATAATGGCTTGAATTTTGCTAATTCCTTAACCCAACTAATAGCTTCTTCAACATCCCATATTTGATTTGCATCAATCATTAAAACTTTATCCCAACCAATTGCTTGGCGTACGATATCGCAACGTTTAATATCATTCTCTAAATTTTGTCCAACTTTAATTTTAAAAGCATTAAATCCTTTTTGAATATATTCTTTGCATAATTTTGAAATTTTTTCATCGGAATATCCAAGCCAACCTACTTGTGTAGTATATGCTGGATAGCCATTCTTTTTTAATTCTTTCAAACGATCATCTTTAAATTCCATTTGATCTTTTAGCATTTTAATACATTCTTCAGGCTTTATGACATCAGAAATATAACGAAAATCAATTGTTGAAATTAATTTTTCTGGTTCCATATCTACTAAGAGTTTCCAAAGTGGTTTATTTTCTATTCTCGACCATAAATCCCATAAAGCATTGATAATTGCAGCAACAGCTAAATGGGTAACACCTTTTTCTGGTCCAATCCATCTAATCTGAGATTCGCTTGTGAGATTTCTCCAATATTTATCAAAATTATTATAAATCTCATGAACATTCTTATTCACTACTAAATGTTTTAAGGCTTCACATGCTTTTTGGACGACTTCAGTACCTCTAAAATTATTTCACACATTAACCAAATAACATAACACACTAAACTTGAAAACATTGAACTTCAAATAATTATTATTATCATAATGTTATACCTTCCCAAAGTAAAAGTAAGACCATTGCCATATAGTCCATTCAATAACTTAATGGTTACATAAACACAGGAATAATCAGGATCTGTATGCATTGCATCAGATCCATGTTGTTCCAAAGATGTGGGCCAACGAATATCTTGAGCTATAAGATCAATTATCTTGAAATCTTCATTTGCACTCATTTTTTTTTTTAATTCTATACTAAGGTTAAAAATTAAAGAAGAACAATTTATAAGCTTTATTCTTGCGCTCTGTCGAAAACATACTAAAGAGTGAATATCAAAATAATAGCCGTATTAAATACATAATATGTATAAATAGTGTTAAGAATGAAGAGTAGATTTAAGTAGGAATAATTATCAGTTTTTTGATAATTATTCCGTTAATAAGCGATAACATATTTGAAATTGAGAAAGAGAAACAAAAAGATTTCCAAACTTAATTTCTTAGCAAATACACATATTATTTTGTAATTATACTTACATACATATGTGCAACGTAAAATTGAAGTGAACAAAAACACACTTTGAAAACTTTACTATATTGAATAGAACTGACATTTGGAATACCTTTTGAATCTACCGTTATGTAAAGAATAATTTATTTTTACACAATTCAAGTTCTATACAATACTCCTTGCTTTGTTATACGATAATTAACATTTACAGTTTAATCGTTTATTTCGCTTTTTTATTTCACTTTCTATTTACTTCCAAGTTTCTCCGTTTTTCTAATGGATATTTCTTTTTCCAATAAAATTACTTGTTTTTTTAATTGGATTTTTGCATTGTTTTATTAAAATGTTTACTGAACGTCTAAACTTCAAAAACAACAAATTAATTTTGTATACATTTTAGAAAAAAAAACGAAATACGCAATATGGAATAATGCTTCTCATTTGAAAATTACATTACACAAATTTATTATAGCGAAATAGACGATCAGAATGTAAAATAAAAAAAAATTTTCATATCACTTCCAAAACTAAGTTTTACAGAAAAAGTTTACATTTAAATTTACATTTAAGTTATGTTTGCAAATACTTTTAAGTTGGTACCTTTTAATAGTATAAAAAAAATTAAAAGAAACAAATTTATAGATTTAAAGATAATTACTAGTTACTATGTACTTTGTACTTATTACTACTCGCCACACGGATATTTAAAATACATATTTCGAGAACATTATCTCAAAATAACGGAGAAATATTAATAATCCGATTATAGCTGTTGTATTTGACATTAAATTTTTATTTTGACATGTCAAAACGTTAACTTAACAAATTACTAAACGATCAAAGATTAATATAAATGTTATACTACCTGAATGGGATAATTTATTATCATAAGCTGTATTTGCGCGACAGCTTTTGGTTCAATAATTGACAAATGTTTCGTTACGTTGCCCATCAAAGCTTGTTGGTATTCAATACGAAACAGATTTTATTTTGTTATTAACTTACTAAATTAAAAGAAACATTCATTTAATTAATAGAGCATGGTAATGATATTAGGTAGATTCTTTTTTTACGGAAAACGGAAGCACTGTTTTTGATTGTTTTGTTTATGCACAAAATAGTAGAATAGTTTTATTTTGAAATTGTAAATTGCATAAACTAATATATGTACATATTTTAAGTTTTAAAAATTTTCAAATAAAAATGGGGGATAATAAAGTTAACATAATTAAAACAGGCATTGGGAAAAAGTTGATACTGGTAGAATACCCGGGACTGGTTAAAAACGATGATAAAATGATAAAAACTTTAGGAGGACTTAATAAAATATCTCGTGTAAACTTCAACAAAAATATAACCCATATTACCTCATTTAACAAAATCAATTAAATTTTAGGTTTTTAGTAACGAAAAGCGTCGTTTGGAGTTACGATACCACCCTGATAATATTTATAATAAACCGGCAATGGGAGATTCTACAACAGCATCTGGTTTATTTATCAAAGTTAAAATAAAACGACCAAAAGATCCTAACCAAGGACCAATGACTCATACTGTTGAAATTTTGGGAAAATGTGCGAAAAAATATCATTTCAATTGTAAGTTAATGTAACTTTAAATATAAACTAGAATTACGAGTACCAATAGCATGTTACTTTACTTCCCCCATTACAGCTTTGTGTGATTTCCAATATTTGCCTTTACAAAAGGATCCACAGACAAATAAAGTATCCTATATATATGACGATATTGCTCCCAAAAACGACTGCGACATTTTCTGGTAAATATTTAAACTGAATTACTTTCAACATTTTTAAACTTTTATTCAATACTTATTTTTAGTAAACCGGAGGCTCCTTTATTTTGTACACCTTTCGTTTTCACTAAAAATGATACTGTTAACACAAAGATTCATAGGTCTGACAAAGATCAAAAACATAATTTAGGAAACGAGGATGTTATTGGTATAGCTAGAACTAGAACCGAGGGATCTGAATATGTGTCATTCAATTTGATAGATCCTTTTCCTGAAAAGCCTAATCCGTTCATTGTTAAAAAATTGCAAATTAAATATATTTCTGACGCTCAATTTGAAAAAGTTAGACAATTGTTTGCGGAATGTCCCATTTGGAATAGAATTGCGTTAATATATGAGTCAGAAGTTTCAAATGACAAATTAAAAGTTATACTTCCATCAATGGCATATTATTTTACAACAGGGCCTTGGCGGACTATGTATGTGCGATATGGATATGATCCGAGAAAAGATTTTCAAAGTCGTCTTTATCAAACTTTCGATTTCCGCTACCGGTTTAAAACTGGCATTGGCAGTTTAGTTAAATCCCGTAGTGAAGCTATTAGTGAAGTAATGAAAGAAGACTGTTCAAATTCAAATGATTCATTATCACAACCAAAGCAAAATGTTTTTTATCCGTATTTTGAGGAAGGCCAGTTGCCTAGATCAAGACAATGCATTTTTAGGGTAAATTTATTTGTTTTCTAGAATTGCGAAAAAATTTGTTATAACTTATATTTGTAGTATTGCGATTTGCGTATAGCAAAAGTTCAAGAAATGTTGAAAAGGGTTCCATCCCCAGCAAGTGGCGCCATATGTAACGAAAAAACTGGTTGGTTACCGTCTAATTTCAATGACGACTGTAGACAAATTATTTCTGACCAAATTATGGAACACATCAAAAGTATGAAACAAAAAGCCCAAATTATTATTGAAGATTTAAATGAAAGTCGTGACGTATCTGTGAGTTTTCATTAATATTTTAAGCTATTGAGTCTAATTTTTCATATTGTTTTTGCAGGAAAATGAAGATTATGAGGAAGAAGGTATACAAGAAGAATTTGAGAATGAAGCAAGAACTGCGGAGGATCAAATGGATGTCACTGACGAGTTAAATTTGTTGTTGGAAACTTAAATTTGATATGAAAAATAGTAAAGTCTATTATAAAAAATTATTTCTTTTATTTATACATTTCACTTAATTCCTACATGCATATAGTTTAATGCGCATAAAGAAATTCTATTCGCAAATATTGTCCTTCCTCCAAAATAGTAAAAAATTAGTAAAGGACTTATTATTCATTCAGAAATGTTTTGCAACAGCTCACTAGTTACTATAATCTACTTTAAGTATAAATGATTTTTTCAACTGAATACGTACATATTGTACTGCAAACAATAAAAGAAAATTAAATGCGCCAAAAATAACAAAAATTAAAAATTAGATTATTGCTGTTGCAAGTTTGTTGGAATATTTAATAGTAAATTTTGGCCCCCGGGAAGATAAGCAACACCTCTTGACCTTGCTAATTGATAAGCAATATCTTCTGCAGCTTCAATTCTTCTTAATTCAACCAAACCATCACCTGCTTCAGCAAATGATTTAGCTAATAATTCGGCAGCTTGTGCATCACCTTCTGCGGAAATAATAGCAGCTTTCTTTTGTTGTTCAGCTTTTTCAACAACAAATCGCGCTTTTTCAGCTTCTTGTTGGGCAACTTGTTTCATTTCTACAGCCATTGTGAATTCGCGACCAAATGTCAGATGTGTAATTGAAATGTCATCCAAGATAAAACCGAATTGATTTGCTCTTTCCGTTAATTCTTCAGAAACTTTTTGTGACACCATCTAGAAATTTATACTAGGATCATTAGCACATTTTGTTTATTTTAAAATTTACCTCTCTCTGTGTAATAAGCTCTCCAGCGTCAAATTGTGCAACAACTGCTTTTAAAACTTCAGTTGTAATAGATGGTAAGACACGTTCATCGTAGTCTTGACCCAATATTGTGTAAATTTTCGGTAACTGATCTGGTATTGGTCTATATAAAATACGTAGTGTGATATTCACATTTTGTAAATCCTTGCTTCCAGTTATTACTGGCACATTTCTAGGCTGAGATCTTATATCATAGATAATTGGTCTTTGAACCCATGGAATAAAAAAATGTGTACCTTCTCCTACAACATCTTGTTTAACACCAGTAAACCTATCAAAAATTACAGCACGATGTCCACCATCAACGTTATATAATGCAGAATTAACAACTCCCCCCAAAACAGCTACTCCCAAGCCTAATTGCCCAATTCGATTAAAAAATTGCTGTGCCATGTTAAACTACGGATTTAAAATATTAATTTTTATTTCCATCACTATTTAAAAATTTCATCATGTTTTGAGGTTATTTTTAGATTCGAGTTAGCCAATTACCTGATTATCTTTCTTTTTAAATATTCAGTTTTTATCTGCCTTCTTTAATAAATCGGATCAATGTGAAATAATTTATTTTAAATAGATTCGGGTTATTAAAAAAAATTTTAATAAAAACTTTCGGCAACTATTTTAATATCCACACTTCAAAGTCACTGTACTATTGCTGTATCTACAATGTTTCCATTGCGTGAAAAACACTAAATTCAATTTGTCATATGTCAAACAAAAAAAATCTTGTAAATAATTTTATTGGTCCTGTTTACATAGTTAATCTAATATAAAATCTGCTGGAAACTTGGATGACTATTTACTCACCAGACTGAAACTATCTGATAGAGCTCAGACCTTATTTCGAAATTTAAAAATGTTTTTTTTGCATTCATATCAAAATTATAACCATAACAAAAATCAGCTGAATGCTGTTGAAATCTTCCACAAAATATTTTGCCACCCTTTTACTTACAAAAATCAGTGCTTCAGGTATAATGTTGAGCACTTTTTGCAAACGTCAAATCCAAATTTAAAGTGATAAAATTTTCGATTCGTGTGATTGGCTAATTTTTATTTTTTTTTAATTCCAATAATAAAAAATTAACTAAAGTGACCGCAAATTTGCCCAAATCAAATTTGATTTCTGAACAATAATTTGCTTAGTTGCGCGATTTAGTTGTTTAATTTTTATGTTGCCTTGAACAATAAATTTGTGATATTTTTTTAGTTTGCAAAACTTTTACCCTATCCGCGTACTTGACAATTTTGATTTATTTTGACAACTTGTTCATATTCAAATCAATTGTTTGTAAATAATATATGTTATTTTGCTATTTTTTGCTGCAGGTAATTTGTAGTTGGATTAAGGTTTGATTACAAAAAAATAACAGTCTTAACTATTATAATGGGAAGAGATAAAAATCGTAGGCGCTATTCAAGTTCTAGCTCCGAAAGTGTAGATAGTGCTGAAGAAGAGCGTCGAAAAGATTTGAAGGAGAGAGATGAATTTGCGGAACGTTTGAAGAAACGGGATGAAGGTCGTATTAGGAAAGTTGTTGAGGCAACTTCTAGCCGAAAGGCGTTTGAAGAAGCCGCAAAACGTTTAAAACTTGAAATCGAGGATCGTGATAAATTTTTGCCTCAATTGCGTATTGATTCTAGACGGAAATATTTAGAAAAGCGCAAAGATGATAAAGTTGCAGAGCTGGAAGCCGATATTATCGATGATGAATATTTATTCGACTCAGAAATGTGAGTTTTAATTCAAAGAAAACCTATGATAAATTCTCACAACTTTTTTAGATTGACAGAAAAGGAAAAACAAGAACGGGAGTATAAGAAAAACCTTTTAACTATCGCCAAGGAACATGAAAAGGCTAGGGAATTGGAGAGAGTTCAAAGGTATCATATGCCTAGGGACATGAAAAAGGGAGAAAAAGGTATTCAGTTAGATCGAAATTTACAATAATGATAAGAAAAATTCATGTGGAATGAATTTTACTTATATATTTTAGAAGATTATGTTGAAATTGATGAACGTGAAAGGCAACCTAATTCAGAGCAAAAGAAATGGGAAGCAGAACAATTAGCTTCAGCAATGTTTCAATTTGGAGCTAAGGATAAAGATTCTAAAATTAAACAGGAATATGAATTATTGTTGGAGGATCAAATTGAATTTATTCAAGCTTTAACAATGGAAGGAACTAAGGACAAAAAAGTTGAAGTTAGTGAGCACGAAAGAAAGAAAATGGACATTGAAGAAACGAAATTATCTCTGCCTATTTATCCGTTCAAAGAAGATATAATTGCATCAATAAGGGAACACCAAGTAAAAATATTAATTTTTATTTATTTCAGAGATATTCAATTTGGTTTTTTCTTTTGTGAAAGATTTTAATTATCGAAGGTGAAACTGGATCCGGAAAAACAACTCAAATACCACAATATTTACATGAGGCTGGATTTACAAAAAACAAACAAAAAATTGGCTGTACGCAGCCGCGAAGGGTTGCCGCAATGTCTGTGGCTGCACGTGTTGCTCAGGAATTAGGAGTAAAGCTAGGAAATGAAGTTGGTTACAGCATCAGATTTGAAGATTGCACTTCAGGTAAATTACAATAATGTCATAGTGAAATCTAGATTAAATTTTAACATATTTTAGAACGAACTGTTATAAAGTATATGACTGACGGTACTCTACATCGTGAATTTTTATCAGAACCCGATTTAGCATCTTATAGCGTAATGATAATTGACGAAGCTCATGAAAGAACTTTACATACAGACATACTTTTTGGCCTTGTGAAGGATATAGCAAGATTTAGACCTGAGTTAAAACTGCTTATATCAAGTGCTACTTTGGACGCTGAAAAATTTTCTAAGTTTTTCGATGATGCTCCTATATTTAGGATACCAGGCAGACGTTTTCCTGTTGATATCTACTACACCGAGGCTCCCGAGGCTGATTATATCGATGCTTGTGTTGTTTCAGTACTTCAAATTCATGCTACTCAGCCACTAGGTGATATATTAGTATTTTTAACAGGTCAGGAAGAAATAGAAACATGTCTTGAAGTTTTACAAGACCGAGTTAAACGCTTGGGGTCAAAACTTAAAGAATTAATAATTTTACCAGTATATGCGAATTTACCAAGCGATATGCAAGCAAAAATATTTGAGCCTACACCTCCAAATGCAAGGAAAGTTATTTTAGCAACGAATATCGCTGAAACTTCTTTGACGATTGACAATATAATATATGTAATTGACCCAGGCTTTGCTAAACAAAATAATTTCAATTCAAGAACTGGTATGGAATCATTGATGGTGGTACCAATTTCAAAAGCATCAGCAAATCAAAGAGCAGGACGGGCTGGTCGTGTTGCACCTGGAAAATGTTTTAGATTATATACAGGCTGGGCATATAAACATGAATTAGAAGATAATACAATTCCGGAAATTCAGAGAATTAATTTAGGCAATGCCGTATTAATGTTGAAAGCTTTGGGGATTAATGATTTGATTCACTTTGATTTCTTGGATCCTCCACCACATGAAACTTTAGTGTTGGCCTTAGAGCAGCTTTATGCATTAGGAGCGTTGAACCATCATGGAGAATTGACGAAATTAGGAAGAAGAATGGCTGAATTTCCAGTTGACCCCATGATGGCCAAAATGTTGCTGGCTAGTGAAAAGTAAGTTCCGAAAATTCCACAAATTCCATAATTCAAATTATTTTTAACAATATTTCCTTAGATACAAATGCTCTGAAGAAATTGTAACCATAGCTGCAATGCTTTCTGTGAATAGTGCAATTTTTTATCGACCCAAGGATAAAATAATCCATGCTGATACAGCTAGAAAAAACTTTAATCATTTGAATGGGGATCATCTTAGTTTGCTTCAAGTTTATAATCAGTGGGCTGAAACTGATTTTAGTACGCAATGGTGTTATGAAAATTTTATTCAGTATAGATCAATGAAAAGAGCTCGTGATGTACGAGAACAACTTGTAGGTTTAATGCAACGAGTTGAAATTGATATGGTTTCTTGTCTTCCAGAAACTATTCCAGTTCGTAAAGCAATTACATCCGGTTATTTTTATCATATTGCCCGGTTATCCAAGGGAGGAAATTATAAAACTATTAAACATAATCAAACTGTTATGATACACCCGAATTCAGCGTTATTTGAAGAATTGCCTAGATGGGTACTGTACCATGAATTGGTGTTTACAACAAAAGAATACATGAGACAAGTTATTGATATTGAGAGTAAATGGTTATTGGAAGTAGCACCACATTATTATAAGCCGAAAGAACTAGAAGACTCAACCAATAAAAAAATGCCAAAGACTGCTGGCAGAGCCGTTATGACAGAATAAATATTCTTATCTGCAATCAATTCCTTAGAAAATTATTTAAATTTTTTCAATACATTTATTATAACATTAGACATTTAAAACAATAACTTTCAAATATCTCATTTTATAATTAATAAATGGTTAAATATATTGTACAAAAAATGATTAATGAATTGCGAATATAAGCATGAATGATTTAAAATTTTTTTGGAAATGAATTGTGATTAATCTTAAATAAAAAATTAATGAACAGTAATTGGTCCCTAAACGTAATTTACACTTAAAGCAAGATAAAATTCATCTTAACTAGTTACACTTAACAGTTTTTTCTTAATTTATTTTTAGGTTTTTTATTTACATTATATTGCTCAATTTTTTTCATTTAATACTTCTGAAGCTGATTCTGAAATTTCTTTCCAAGAATATTCAATATCTTCCGATTTGGTGAACCGGGAACAAACTGCAAATCTTAAAAAGTATATTCCATTGATTTTTGATGGTACTAAATGAATATTCCCGCGTCCATTGATACGTTTTAATAATAATTCATTTAATTCATTAGTTCCTTTTAACCGGAAACATGCTAAACCCATTTGAACTTCACCAACAATTTCAAAACGCTGATCGGCTGAGCATAATTTTTCAAAGTGTTTGGCGAAACCACAATGACGTCTAATGTGAGCTTGTAAATTTTCAATGCCATATAATCTTAAAACAAACCATAATTTCAAAGCCCTAAAACGACGTCCCAACGGTATTTGCCAATGTCTATAATCTGGTGCTGATCCTTGTTGATCGTGTTTTAAGTACAATGGATCAACATTGAATGCATCAACAATCCAATTTGGATCCTTTAACCACATTGCACTACAATCAAAATTAACTAGCATCCATTTATGTGGATTAAAATTAAATGAATCGGCTGTTTCAATCCCTTTCATTAAATATCTATATTCCGGACAGATAAATGCCGATCCAGCATATGCAGCATCAACATGTATCCAAACATTGTATTTATTTCCTACTGGACCACATTCATCTAATTTGTCAAATGCACATGAATTTGTTGTCCCAAGAGTTACTACAGCCTAAAAAAAATATTAAATAAAATTTAGAGATGTATAAAACCTATTAAAAATAATTTAATTATTATATTTACATAAAATGGTATTAAGCCTTCATCAATATCCTTTTTAATAGCTGATTCAAGTGCTTCACCACGCAATTGATTATTAACATCAGCTGGAACTAATTTTAATTTAACACCACCCAAAAGACCAGCTCTTTCTACAGAAGAGTGTGCCTGTGTCGAACAATATCCTACTAATTTTGAAACTATAGTATTATCATCCCAATCTGGATGTTCATCTTTAACTTCTTTCATTTTTTTTGCTTTAGCTCCTAATAATGCTACAAGAGTTGCTTCACTAGCTGTTCCCTGTATAACACCACCACCTTTTCCACCAGAACAAGCCAAAAATTCATTTGGTAAATCAAGCATTTTTCCTAACCAATCAAGCATTACAACTTCTAATTCTGTACAAGCTGGACTGGCAATCTATCCATTTTTAAGAAAAAAAGAAAACAAAAAAAGAAAGAGGAAACAAAATTATTAGTAATATTTTTTCTTGTTTGAATTTCCTTTTTATTTATTGAATATTTTACCCAAGAAAATCCAATACAGGCTATTGCTCCAGATAACATATCTGCTACTATTGCAGGATATGAATTTGCAGTCGGAAAATATGCATGAAATTTTGGACTATGCCAGTGTGTTACTCCTGGCATTATGACACGTTCAATATCACTCATAACATCTTGCCAATTTTCAGCTTTTTCTGGTGCAGCATCTGGTATAAGTGGACGAAGGTAACCTGGTTTAACATCAGCAAGTACTCTCCTAAAATACATTTAATATTAATTTAGAAGTATATAATATATACATAATTTATTTCTATTTTTAAAATATGTTTGCTTCCATGTTTTTATTAATTCAAGAACTTTTTATTAAAAATTAATTTCCTATATACATACATATGTACATACAAACACAACAGATTGAGAATATAATTTTGTTTTTCATTTTGTTAGTGTTTTTTTTCGAAATCGTGCAACACTTGTTCACCTGATTCAAATGTTCTTGATCAATAATAAGTTCCGATATAAAATTCAATGGTTGAAAATTTGAATTTTTAAATTTTATCTCTTATTTGTTAATGTTAAATTTTTAATATTTTTTATTATTCATTTTTTAAGGTTACACGCAATTATGATTATTTTATAGACAAGGTTATAACAAATAATTATTTTAATATTTGAAAGTACAAATTAATTGTAAAAAATTTTACAGTTTATACACAGGAAAACCAATAAAGCAGTAATAATATGTAAGTTTGTTTTTCTTGTGTACTTATTTTGTTAGCAAGAAATTTTAAAGATTTTCATATTCTTACAATCTTTTGAATTTTAAGTGCTCGGTCCTCAATATGTAAATTACATTTAATACTTAATAAATTTTTACATGTAATTGGTTTTTATTATGTTTTAAATAAAGTTTTTGTTTTGGTAAAAATTAATTATTTTTGTTTTTAAAGAAAAAAGTATTAAATAAAATTTTTTTTGTACAGATTTATGTTTCCATTATGCTTGCAAGTAAAAAAAATTATTTTTTTCATGATCTTGATATTTGAAAACAAGTTGCTTTTAACCTTGACTTTACCATTGTGACTGTTATATTGTCAGAAAATTAATAATTCGATCATTTTGAAGTATTAAGTAAAAATCGCTTAGTTAAATTTATTTTTTTTTTATATAAAATTGCAATATCTTGAAACCTAGAACGTTTTCTCGTCCAGTGATTTTTAAAGCAATTAAAAATTAAATAGAATTGCATTTTTTTTTTAATTTAAATTTTAAATTATCAAGGTAATTATGTTTTTCTTTTACTTTAAATCAAAAACATAGCAGTAATTGAACAAGGTAATTGATATTTAATTAATTAAATTTTTAGCAATGTTGTAATAAAATAATCATAAGTGTTGACTCGTAAATAATTAGCTATTTGATGACCTATATTTTACTAATGAATTATTAAATTATTGTAATTATAACACTTACTATATTCCAGTTTTAAATTTAAACACCAAAACTGTATTTAAAATTATCAAACAATATATGCATGTATGTACGTATATGTACAGGAAATTTTATTTTAATAAAAATTAAATATGTAAAAGGAAAAATAATTTTTTTATTTCAATAATTAATAAAATATAAAATATTTAATATAATTTATTACCTGTCTCTTATGTTCTCCAAATAATTTGCAATGTAATCAACCATTTCTTTAGCAAAATCCTTGAATTCTGGTGCCTCCATATCGATCTATGTATGTATATATAGAAATTATTTAATATTTTTAAATTTTTTTTTATTTGATTATTACAATTTGTATTAGCTTAAATTTTAATTAAATTTAAATTAATAAAAAAATTAAATTATATATTAAAAATAAATAAATAAAACGAAAAAAAAAATTTAATTAAGAATCAAGCGTGCTTCTATATTCAACTAAAACTTAAAGAATAACTGAACGATTTCGGATTCTCTCCCACAAAATTTTTGCTTAGGTACTTAAAATTACAAATTTTTTAAAAACAAAATTTAAATGGACCAAATCACTTTGTATTTAAATGAAGAACAAACCATATTTTATATTCAAATTTTTTATTTACAATGTGTTGAAATACAAAATAATATAAAAAATTATTGAAAGTAATGAATATTATATCCCGCCTTTTATTTTATTATTTTTTCAAGGGAAATTATTAAAGCATTGTCCATAAATTGTGTAAAATTGCTATTAACACGTGATATATGTATATGATTGCTAAAAATGAGTTATGTATAAAAAAAATTAAACTACAGCTCAATCTCTATATAATGAACTCCTCGTTTAACAATAATCTATATGTATATTTTTTGGCAGTAACTTACAAAACATAGCTTATCTAATTTTAGAGGCTTGTTATACAAAATTCCCCTAATGCATTTATTTTTTTTTTTTTTGTATACTCTTCACGAAAAAATGTTTTAATAATATCAAATAATTTTAGCTGAATTGTGAGAAATTTTATTATTATGCCAATTGTTAGAACTGATATAAAAGATTCCTAAAAGTATGCAAATTATTTCTTTTATTATATTTTCTTTTTTGCGTTTATTGCATAACTAGTAAGACGATTTCTTAAGGAAGTTGAAATTTAAAAGTTAACTTTGTTGAGAACTTGAAACATTTAAAAAATATTTGAAATTGAATTAATAATAATAATGTTATATTTCACATAATGTTTGTGTAGTTATGGTCCCAATATGTACTTAGAAATCTAATTTATAATAATTATAATAATATAATATTTGTAATTTTAGCTTAAAATTAAATCATCTTTTGCAAAATTCATACAAATAATATTCTGGTAATTAACACATATATATATATATATATATATATTATGCATTTTGACACAATGTAAAACAACTTTTTCAATAATTTCATTAAAAATTCAAAAATTATAATATTAATTTATTAACACATATTATATGCAGAAAAAGAAAAATATGCATAAAAAAATTAAAATAAAAAATTAATAATTTAAAAAAATATAACAACAACATCAATGCAATCTACAATAATTATTAACATTTAATTATAATTTCAGTACAGCTATATATATAAAAAATCTTGAATGCTTACTGATTTATTTTCGTCATTTTTAATATTGACAGATGTGTTAATGTCACAATTTTTAAACTTAATATTAATATCTTCAGATATATTATCTGACATCGATGTTGATTTAAAATTATATGCTTTAGATTTGTCCATGCTGTTAATATACAGATACATAATAAATGAGCAGTATGAGGTTAAATTTATTCAAGTGTTAAATCTATTTGGTTGTTATTATACACAATATGTATGCATGTATGTATTTTTATCTCAAATTTATAAAATTTTAAATTGAATTAGAAATTCTTTCAAAAATTATTACCTATACAGTTATGTACATTGTATTTACCTACATACATACATACTTATATTATTTGTAATTTTCGCACATATTTTAAGATTGAGTTCGTATTATGAGAATGTGATATGTATTACGATTAAAATACTATTATTTTATATAGGTATGTAAATATGAACGAAATATGTATATTGTTTTTAATAAAATTGCACTTGAAATTTAATAGAAGCTTATCTGATTGCTAAGTTTTAAATTGATTAAAATATAATAGGTGTTCCTATATCCATATGTTCTTATATATACATATGTATAACATATATATGGAATATTATAATTAGAATTTGTATATGACCCAAATTATAAAATAAACTACTTAATAATATTTAGATTGTTATAAGAGTTTCAATCATTCTTTGATACACAGAAATTTGTACGTATTTATATATACAGTCGAACACACTTATAAGTAAACCCTTTTTTGTATATATCCGTATTGTACAGTTATTCATTTTCTATTTGCAACATTAAATTTTTAGGTCAACTTTGTAATAGAAATCGACAATTATGAGAATATAATATTATGATGTGTTCGTATATTAAAAAATAAATGAATAAATATTGAACTTAAATTAATTATAAAATTCGTATGTTTCGCGCCATACTATAATTACTATTTTTGCAATAAAGGAGTTTCGTATTATGCAATAAAGGAGTTTTGCATACATGCGACTTGCAATTCAGAAATTAATTAAAATCCATTAAATATATTTTGTTGAATTATTTTATTAGCATTTTCCTATAAGTTAATTACTAAAATGGCTAGAATTTTATGCGTGACTATAATCATACTTTTTTTAAAATAGTATAGATATATTTACATACCTATATTTTTTTAAATTAAAAATTTTTTAAATTTATCAAGTCAATTAGATTTTTAATTTAAAAAGTAAGTTATAGTTAATTATGTACAATCTTTACAAGTTATTTAATCAAAAATTTTATGATGTTATGAACTCTGATATATAGTATAAGTATAAATTTACATACATATTATAATTAATAATATCAATTAATGTTATTAATTATAATTAAAGGTTAATGCATTGTCCTCTATACCATATTTTAAAATTTTTTAAATACTAATTTATAAAAAATCCGAAAATGTTATTTCACTACTGTATATCACATAAATATATGAATTATAACTTGAAAGAAAATTACTTTATTTATTAAAATACTGAAGCAGTAAAATTACTATAGTATTATAAATTTTTTATATATACGAATTTTTCTATTAATTGCAAAATATATTTTAAAATTTTTCTTATGTTGGATTAAGAGGGTTTTTAGTATTAATAAGTTACTATAATTTTCACAATTAAACGTATAGAAAACTTTAACTTTAATATTTGACACGTAAGGACTGAATAAATCTCCATAAATTGCAAAAAATACACAAAATTTTATTTTATCAAATTTAATAGGAAAAAATTAGTTCAGTAAAGATTTTATGTAATTTTAAATATGACGCATTTAATATTAAGAAATTAAAAAATTTATACTGAATCATTTGATTTAAATGATATGTTCTTAATAATTTTTACTTTTATATAAATTATTATATGAAAAAAGTTAATTATCATTTAGAAACATTAGTTGTGTAATTATGAAATTAATTGAATAGTTTAGTTTTGAAAGTGATCTTAGACCATTTACAATTTTAAAACTCTTTTATTCCGAAAGCAATGATAATGTCAATAAGCCGGAATCGAAACTTATGCTGCCGGATAAAAATAATAATTATTTTATATAAAGCTAATAATCAGTTAATGGAATTTTTTATTACTTTAAACCTAAACGGAACAATATTTCACTTTTAATTATAATGGAATGGAATAGGCTACTACAAAACTTTAACTAATCTAATTATCTAATTATAATTTTAGTATTTCTTTCATAATTTAGTTATTTGATTCATAAAATATAATTCAATTACACATTGTAATTAATATTTTTTAATTATTTTTTAATATTCAATAATATTAATAAAAATTTTCTTATTTAATATAACATTAATTTCCCTTCTAATTTCCATTAATTAATTTAATTTTTGTATTACAAATGCGTTAATAATTTTTAATAAGTAAAAAAAGAATTCAATTACTTATATAATTTTCTAAAAAGTAAATTAAAAAAAAAAAAAAACTCTTTATACAAATGAAAATTTAATTAGCACAATTTTTAATTCAATTGCGCTTTACATATTGTATGTATGTATACATATACATATAGATACTGGGTATACATTAATTTTTTAAGAATTTTGTTTTTAAGATCTAAACGGATCTGAGTGTAAATTCATTTGTAACACACAGTATTTGGGTAGTGTATATATATATATATATAAATGTATATATATAAAGTATATATGTATGTAGAAATATGTATGTACATTTCCTGTGGTTACAATTTTAAAGAAAATTATTTAAAATTAAAAAAAATTACAAGAATTATAGTTTTAATCACGGTTAATTTTGCAATATTAATGTGAGTAATATGCATTAACTTACATACCTACTTAATATACATACATATTTACTTAAAATTGTAATAATTTAAAAGAAAATTAAAAAAAAAATCTTGGCAAAAAAATTATAATTTTTTTTTTATGGTTTAAAAAATCTTTACGTTATGGTTAGTTTTTTTTTTTTTTGTGTACTATGAAAATTAAAATGAAGTTGTTTAACTAGTTTTTTAATTTTTATTTTGTTATTTTTTTTTTCATTTTGAAATTTTGTTCTTCAAAACAAAAAAGAGAAAAAAAAAACAAATTGTCCTTGAATTAAAAAAAAATTTTAGTGAATGTCTTGAACTAATAGTGGAAAAATATTTCAGAGTGCCTTATTATAATTAAAAAGTTTTGTATTTAATTTTAAATAAAAAATGTTTTAAAAAATTTTATTTTAAAACCACCATTACCATCAGCCATATGGACCCTACTGATGCAGTTTTATCACTTTTTATTTTAATCAATTAATCACAAAAATTTTGAAAATTTCTGTTAGAGATTAATGGCCTGGCTATTTTACTCGGAAAGTGAGAAGAAAGTGAATAATTCGCTATTGTTAGTGAGAAAGTGAGTAACTATCATATATTTGCATAAGGTTTAATTTTCGAGTGAGAACAATTATTCCGTTTAACGTATCACCTTTTTTTTTCTAAAATACATACAAAATTTATTCACTTTATTTTTGAAAATGAAATGTTTAATCGATAATTTGAGAAAAAAATGCAAAAATCCAATTGAAAAAATAATTAATCTTATATTGGAAAAGTGAAATATCATTATAAAAAATACTAAGAATTTTGATTTGAAAGTGAATAAAAAGTGAGTAAAATGGCGAAATACATGATCAGGCTGTAAGAGTCAAAACCTTAATGAAATTATACTAATAAAAAAAAAGTACTTTAATTTTAAAATTCGTTGATTCAATATAGGGTCCAGATTTTATTCTAAATTACAATTCTTATAATATTTAAAACAAGAAAAAAAACAATTTATTACCTTATTTATTTATTAAAATAATTTAGATGTACTTATAAAATTGTAAGCTAATTATTGGAATTATTAAAATAATTTCGTATAACAATTATTTTATTAAATTTATTTTAAAGCACAATTAAAATAATTATTTGATTTACTTTTGCTTTTTATAATTTTAAAGTTTTAAAAGTTCAAAATTCATGTGATCGCACACCAATAATTTTATTTAAAAATAATTAATTTAATTTTTTAATAAACCGTTATTAATCATTTAAAATTTTATATACATATATTTATTTAATAAACTAAATTTAATTTTGAATACCGATTTTTCTTAATTTAGTTTTTTTTTTTCAAAATTGATAATCACGACAATAAAGTTAAACGTTCAAATACTAACTGAAAAATTTTATAATTTTGTAAAAGCTTTTAAAGAAAATTTTTGTATTTCTTTGATTTTGAAAAAAAAAAAATCAAAAATTCAGAAAAAAAATCACAGATTTTTGTTTGTTTTGTTTCTTTCTTTTTCGTATTTTTTTACACTTGTCCCCTCTTGTTCTGTATTTTAGGCTCCCCAATATGTATATACGTGCATAATATGTATGTAGGTACCTTATATTAGAGTAGTAACATTAATAATAATATATAATCGTAGTTATACATAAGTGTACAATTATAATCGTATACGAAATTGTTATTATATCGAATTGGCATTGACATGCGTGTATAAAATTATCTACAATAGTTAAAGATACAAAAAAAAAATATTTATAACCTGTAGAATGTTAAATTTTTCTATAGTATCTACATAAATTTTTTACAGTTTGTAGTTATATTATTTGAGTACATACATACTTACATACATATATGTATGTACACTATGTATTTTGTATATTTTTTTGATTTCTCTATTCTTTCAGATTTTCTTTTTGCTTTGAATGTTGCATTTATTTTTTCTTTTTTGTTGTTGTTGTTATTACTATTAGATATGATTTTGCAATTTTTGTTTTTTTTTTTGTTAAAAGGTTTTTCCCTCTTTTGTTTTTTCTATTCTTCTTTTTTTTTTTGTTTTCTCTAAATATTATAAATACGTACATACATATTTTTTTTTATTGAGAATTTTATTTTTCATTTTGTGAGATATTTAGCAACTAGTATATGTACATATTAATGTGGATATATATGTACATAAATTAAATAAAGTATCAAAATGTAAGTATGTATGTATGTACTTATAGTATGTATATGCGATTCTTAAATTTCTACATATTTGAGAAATGTAAACGTGAGAATTTTTTTTAATTTATATAATTTATTATTATATATTTATATAGTGTAAATGTTGCCAATTTATACATAAAAAAGTGAGTACCTAATGTATTGTATCATAAGAGTTGAGATGTGTGTGCATACAAATGTACATATGCATATGTGTATGTAATAGAACTCCTTATTGTACATATTATTATTATTGTCATTTTATTATTTTATAATAGTGTAAGTATTATAGGAATCAGTGTAAAATTTTCAGGATAATTTATTTAATTTTATATATTCGCATTATATAAGTATAAAATGAGCATAAAAAAAAATTTCTCTTGTTTTTTTGCCTGAACAGGGTTGGATTAAAATTGTATGATATATATGTAGTTATTTCGTTGATATTTTGATTATTAAAAAATTTTGGAGTTTTTATGATAAAACGGTTGATTATCTGTGATCATTTTGTATTTCATAATTTTTTACTAATTGGGTATAAGAAAAAAAGGTTAACCAACTACAGTACTATGTCAGTTACATGATTTTGGTTTAGTGTTTCTTCCAAGACTTCCTGGTTTGATCGAATATTTTATTACTTTAACAAAATTTAAATTTCGACGGTAACCATTATTACAATATCTAACTCATACGTTGCTATACTTATACTTGTACCACATTATTCTTCTAGCCACATTAATTTTTTCCAAATTTTTTTTTTTTAGTTTATGTCTATACTTTATTTCAATTATTATTTTTCCAAATTGTAATACCAAATTTAATTAACACTATTTTCAATACTTACATAAATTCATACACCTAATACGGTTATTATTTAATGATTTCCCAAATATTTCCTAAATGAAGCCTGGTTGGAATGTTGCACAGCAGATATATGTACATTTAAAAGAAAAGTAACAAGACATGTATAATAATCTGTAATAAATAAATGTAAATTTTTTTTTAAAAAATTTAATATTCAATAATTTTATAATCAAATATACTTTCTTATGGAACATTCACTTAATGCAGCTCTGGAAAAACACCATATCACTATAACTTGATCTTGATAATTTTTTTTATTATATAATTTATGTACATATATTACTGGTTATATTTTATATATTTATAGAAATAATTTATATAACAATAAAAATGATTCGAACTTCTTGTATATGATTTAAAATAAAAAATACATAAAAACTAGAGAATGCTTTTAACATTATTAAGAGAATATTACAAAAAAATAAAAAAAGTATAGCTACCTAAAAAAAAATAAAGAAAAGAAATTTAATTGTATTAAGTTTTTCATCTTTTGTAGGTTCCCACACAATTTCCGTATCCTTTTCATAGTAGCATTTAACAACATTTTTTTTTTTTATGACTTTTGTATCCTTTACTTTTATTTTCGAACTTTAAATACTTTTTAAGTGTACTTGAAAACTTTGATTTATAAAAATATATGCATGGTAAATTGTACATATTATGTATATATGCATATATATATATATATATATATATCATTTCAATCAATACATATGCAATACTAGTGAACAATATCAAACTATAAAACTATATTAAGTAAATAATATTATGTATAATGATAATAAAAGAAAAAAAAAATCTGATTGCCTATCCTTAGGGAAGACGTTTAAAATAAGATACAAATCAAATCCATGAAAAGGTCCTTAATGTCCTTAATACAATGATATACTTATAGAAAGCTTTTTATAGTACCTACTCTTTGGAAAAGAATTTTTTTTATTCCTCTTTTTCAAATCAGGAAATGATTTATGATATTATATAATACAATTTTATATATAATGGCTGTTGATGATGAATATATAAAAGATAATGTAATAACACTTATACATATATACATTTTGAAATATGATTAATGATGCTGATTATTTTGTTATTAATAGAAAGTATGCACATACACATATTATCAACACATTTATTATAAAATGTGTTGATAATACTTTTGATATTGATTAAACATTTTAACTTTTCTTTTTTTTTTTAAGAGTGATATAAAACAATTAATAGAAATTAAAATTTATGTTTGTATGTATGTATGTAGGAAGAAATTATTTTATTTTTATTCTTGAATTTGTCATGGACAATATTATTATGCTTTTGAATTTCAAGGGCAGATATCTCAATATATACGTACATATATGATATTTTGTTCATACATACAGAATATATAATTATGTTATATAAAATAATTACTATAGAAATAAAGCTTCTGTCATTTTAAGATAAGTAGGTATTTATTAAATTAAAAATTATTTTAATATTTTAATCATATTAAATGAGAATTTCTTATAATTACTTTAAATTGGAAATATTTAGGTAGGTATATAATTTTTCACTTTTATACCGGAATTTATTTAAATTTTAACAAAAATTGTATTATATGTATTCACACTAATTGCACATTATATGTAATTACTGCATTCTGTAAATTATATAAACCTATGGTACATAATTTAAATAAAAAATAGCAAGCTAGAATAAGGGGAATTTTCCGATATATTTGTCAATGCTCTACTAGATATTATTAAAAACAATCAAAGCACACTTGCAGAAAAACTGTTCATTATAAAGCAGAATTATTATATTATTGCTTTAAATTCCAATGAATACTATATACATAAGACTTAATAAGTAGAAAAAGAAAAAAAACGTGAACTTTTGACGCACATTTATTTCACATCCAATGACGTATAAGTATTTATTTGAAATTAATATCATTTCAAGAGACATGGCAATTTTACGAATTTCTGTCTACTCAAAAAAAAATCTACTCACAGAAAAAGTTTAATAAAAAAATGAATCATCAACAAAAAAACCAGATTGCTTGCATTTAATCTTTACGTTTTACGCTAAAGATACAATAAAAATAAATAAAAAAAAAAAGAAAACGAAGAAGCCGTTTTTTAATGAAACTAGTTTACGTGATGCTAATTAAGAAGACATGTGCTTAAATATTTTTATAATATTCACACATTATACAATATAATGTAATGTTATTTCTCTTGAAGCATACCTTTTGTTTATATTTCTATAAATATTTATAAGTAATATGTAAATTTTAATACGTTGAAATCATTGACAAAAAACATAATTGCGTATTATGATGACCATCATTTTTAGATCAAATTCACTTTATTTTTAAAATTCATTGAATTAAAAAGAAATTAAAATTATAATAAGAGATTAAAAATCTTATAATAAGAGATACTTTAATGTTGGCTCTCGAAAATGCGACTCTCAAAGTTCGAACTAGAAGTTTAATACTAGATGAAGCTACTTCTTAATATTCTAAATGTAATAAATATTATAAGATTTTGAAATTTCATTTTTTTATCATTAGGTCACTTTTATTTTGGGATCTGTTAACAAAAATCACTTATACTTTTAAAGAGTTCATAAATATCAATTGTTTTAATATCTTTCCCCAACCTAGGTTATGGAAATCAAAATAAAAAATTAAGTTTAAAGAAAAACAAATAAAATTTGAAAATATATGTTCTTCATATTTCATTCTTTTTCAGGTTTTTTTCTTTTATTCAATACATAAATATTTTTAAATATTTTTTAAATTCTTAAGTTTTTTTTAAATTTTTTAAGTTTTTTGTATTTATCATTTTTGAAGTAAATTCAGAAATTTTACATTTAGAAAATGGAAAGAAGTCTTCTTTTTAATTATAATTATTTTTTCTGGTTTTGAAAATTAAGTTATTTTTGTTTTTATTATCAATTGTTTTAATTCATAATTTACTTTTTAATTTTTTTTTGTATCAATTTTTACTGCAAAAATACAATTTCTATATTGAAAAACAAATTTTTTTCTTTCTTTTTTTTTTAGTGTAGTGTTATTTTATTTAACAAAATATATTTTTACAAAATATATTTTATTTATTTATACAATTTATTATAATAATTTCACTTCATTATTTCACTTTTTGGAATATTTGGAATATTTTTGTAAAGAGAAGGCTATATATAAGTATAAGAGATAAATTACGTATAGAATATTTAATTTGCAAGAAATTTATTAATATAATTTGTAATCTGTATTTTAAGATTATTTCACTTAAGAAATCAAAAGTAGAAAGCTAAAAATATATTTGATCGGATTATAATTTAAAAAAAAATGTGTTTACAACATTTACAAAAAAAGCACAACAAAATTTGTGAAATATTTATAAAATAATATCACCTAAAGTTCGAATTTCACTTTTAACGATTTTAATCAAAAACTTTAAATAATTAATTAATTCACTAATTTCTCCTGTTATTATATTTTTTGCATTAAATGCAATTTTACAAATTTATTTATAAATTTATATTAATCTACATACATGTAAAATTTAATTTTTCTTTCTTTTTTGGAATAGAATTTCATTGACTTACACATACATAATAATATATTCTTAAAATAAGTGTTTTTCGGATTAGTTTTATTATTAATTTTACAAATTTTCTTTGTTAAGAATTATTAAATAACTCAATTAGTGCATCAGTGCTACATATTTTTCATATACTGAATCACTTATTTTTGAATTTGTGAATCTTTCCGACATGCTATATGACGACTATTTCAATTTATCATATTAAGAATGATGGACCAAAAATTATGGTTTTCTTATTTTAAAAGTGTAATTTATTACAATATTTAATACAACGCACATTAATAGAACTACATTAATATTTAATTTTACACAAATTTAAAAGATCATTTAAAAAAATGTTTTAAACAAAGAACTTTTAGGTATTTGAATTTGTATAAGAAATTCCTTTTTTTTTTAAATTAAACTTTTACAACACATCCGATCAATTCTAAATAACATAGTAATTAAATTTTTTTTAAATAAACGGAAAAAAACAAACAAATATTTAAAGGATTCAAAATTTTCAGTTCTTAAATATTGCGATAAAATACAAATTTATAGGTGCATTTTATAGTTAATATTACCATTGGTATTCAAGGAAAATACATTAAATTTGATTGTAATGTTGGTGGGTTTAAATATATTACACAACATTTTTTGCTTTAGTTTCTAGTTTTTGTTTAATCTTGAATTTCCTACTAATAAGTTATTAGTCACACCAAATTTAATTTTTATTTTTACCAAACATAATTTTTGCTAAGATTTTTTTTTCAAAATAGAATTCTTGAAATACAACAAAATAATTAATTTAAATTATTGTGTATTAGATTAATTTATTTTGTAATAAAAATTGCTTTTAATTTTATACAAGGATTCATAAATTTCTGTTGAATTTTTGTAAAGTTTTTGGGTGAGTAAAATATATAAAAGAAAAGAAGACTAGGGTTTGGCAGCTGGAGAGCATGCTCTATTGGCTTCAAATTGTTTACTCTTTTGTTAACGTAAGTTTGCTTATAAAATATTTTGTTCTGCTTTTGTGCTAATCACTAGTGTATTGGAAAACCATTATTAAGCAATCTTTTGTTTTTTATAAAATAAAGTAAAATATCACTATGACAGGTTCCGAAAATTTCAACAAAATTTTAGTCGATATTTAAAGAAGACATTCTTTTTTCGACCCTAAAAATAACAGTGTTATTATTTCGAATTTTTTTAAATCGTAAAAATTTTTTTACGTTATTTCAATATCCTGAAATAATTCACCAACCCAAGCCACAGCCAAACAGTAATGCTGCGAAAGTTGGGTTAACAATTCAGTCTCATCCAACATTTCAATGTGTTCAATTCTTTGTCTTTCAGAAGGGCTAATACTTTGATATACTTGTACCATATCCCAGGCTCTAGAACCGCTCCAACCGCATTCAAGAAATCTTGATGTCTGTGTTTCCAGTGACAAACATGAATCGATTCCAGCTAAACTACAACCTCTGGCTCTTAAATTGTTCAACATAACATCCCCAAATCTATCATTCATATTGACCTAATTTTAGGTAGACATGTATTTATTAAAATATTTTTTGGTTATTGAAATAAGAATTTACCTGTTCAAAATTAACAAACACAGCTGATTCAAAGCGCCCAGCTAGCCACTTTAATAAGTTTCTACAATTCTGCGCTTCAATATAGACTAGAACACATTCTGCAATAAATATGGTAGGTAATTTATAATCAATTTCAGCCTGTTGTAATTTATTATCCAGCTCATCTATATTTCTAAGATCAACACCCATTATATGATAATTAGGACCATGCATATCTGTTGGACTTAGTTTAACTTCGCCATCTTCAGCATGGATTTTACCAAGCAAAGCTTTGTTCCTTTTAATAGTGTAGCATTTACGTGCTGTTACTGTAGGAAAATCTAATTCTGTGTAATTGATAATGTTATGGCCAGAATCCTTTAGGCGCCAGTAAAGAGTATCGAAACCACAACCCAAATTAATTATTTGACACTTATCATTGGTTTTCTAATTAACGAAGAAAAAATTGCAAAAGAATGAATATTTAATATTGTGGATAACCAAGTTTAATTCATTAAATATTTTTATTTAAAAATGCACAAATAATTATCTTGATTAAAAAAAAACATATGTGATTATATGAATTTATTTACATAAAAAAAACAATTAATTAAAAACCTTGGATATATTTTTTATTACTTTATCTAGAAAGTAACTATTTTTAACACTGACCTTTAAAAATTTTTCGACGCACATCTCCACGCCCTTGACTCTAGCAAAGTAACCTCGATTAATTTCTGGAGCTTTTCTTTCACTACTTCTAACAAAATAACCAATATATTCATCTTTCCAGTACCCTAATCTGACAGCACATCTTTTGCAATCACTTGCATCATCATTCGTGGCTATCACTAAAATTAACATACTATTAAAAATAACTTTAATATAAATTTTTCAAATACTGCACATACCCGCTTCATCGCAAGGATGAAACGCTGATTCCACTGAATATGAGCGCATCCTTTCGTTTGCCAGTTTGAAATTGTTGCCTTAAAATGGCCTTGATAATAAATCGAATTTTTTCTTTTTTCGTTTCTGCTTCGATGCAGAAAAAATTATCCAAGTTCAAAGGAAACTATAGAAAAAAAAATGTTCCTTGTAAATATAGATTCTAGCAACTTCTTTTCCAATTCAATACACTTAATTGATGTTACAAACAATTTTCAGAAAACTTTGATGTAGAAAAAGATACCTTAATACCTTATAGAGTAAATACTTGTGGAATTCCAAGGGATAAGAAAAACTTTGCGGGAGGAAAATCTTTGATTTAACCAACAACGATACAAACTACCCCACTTTATTTGACATTTCTGTTAGTAATTTCGCGCAGTGAAGCCTTACATTTCGACATTTTCAAATGATTTGACATTTTAAAAGCAATGACAATTCCATTGTGAATATGAGAATGAGGTAATTTCAAGGAAATTTTAATTTTATTAAGAAGATTGTCAAATTTTGGATGTGTCGTTTTGAAATATTTATAAAAATATTATATTTTAATTCCTAAAGTTCTAAATCTATAAGTAATAAAGATTGTTTTAGTTACCTTAACATTAATAAAATTAGTTTCATATTAAAATATATTACAAATAAAATTACCCTATTGTATATATGACTTATTGTGAATTTTATAAAAGGAAAAATAAAAACACGTAAAAAAATTTATGACCGCTAGTGTCATCTCTTAGACAATTGAATAAGGTTTGACTATAATATTTTAAACAGTTTTGAAAACGGTCTCTTTTCCGTTTTTGTAGTTTCTAGTTTCTGAACAAGATTCGGTAGCTAAGTCTATAATTTCTAGACTAGACGTAAAAATATAAAAACATCTTATGTACTCAAACTTTCAAATTCATTTTGTTTTTATTTTCTCATTTTATAATTTGTTTTTTCTAAATACTAAATATGTATTTTTTTTTCTGTAGAAAGATTAAATTTTTTAATTATTATACTTTGATTTCATTTTTCTTTTTTATATCAATAAATTTAAATAGAATTATTATAATGTACTTATAAATAATGGGAACAATATAACTATGTATATATTTTATCATGCTAAGATATTTATAATTATAAATTGTAACTATATATATATAATTTCTATAAACTGTGAAATTTACATTATGCCCTTAATTTTATATGAATTTTTTAATATATTAATAGTTATGTGATTTAATTTTTTAAAAATTTATTTATACTTATATATAATATTGTCAATATTTTGAGATTTTCGACGATAAAAGGTGACATTCTTCCAATGGATTCATTTCTCATATTATTTTCTATTAAATTTCAAAAGTTTAAATAGCATTTTTGGCAGTGTTAAATATTTTGTTGAAAAAAAAAAATTCAATAGTGACTTATTGTATCTTCAATTTTTTTTGTTCTGGAATATAATAAATATAAAATTCCTTTAAATCATGAGATACAACATAAATATTCGAACATTATATGACAAAAATAATTTCAAAAAATTGACAATATTTTATTTTACAAATTTTTCTTAGTGCCTATATTAATTATGAAAGCATTATTCTTATGAAGTGATTTAAATTAAATGAATCTTAATTGTTTTTTTTTTTATCATTTATTTACAAAAATTAAAAATTTGAAAAATTTGTTAAATTTTCTTAACATTATAAATTAAAACTAATTAGATTTTAATACATAAAATTATATTAATTATGGTTTCAAGTAAATATTACTCAATTTTTTGTAAAAATTTTTTGCAAAAATTTATTAAATTTTAAAATTAAATTACAAAACACGCGTATGAGTTTAATGAATTTTTTATTCATTTTTTTAGTGAGTTATTAAGTTATATATGTATATATAAATATGAAAAAATAAGAGATAAACATTAATGTTAGAACCGAATTGAATTTGTTTTAGGTCGAAATCAAAATATATTAAAAAAATTGTATTTAAAAGTTTACACCTACAGATATATATGTGCAAGAATTGAAGCATTTATTAGTGGAATGAAACAGAATTATTTTGTAGTTTTGTGCATAATTACTAAAAATTACACTTATAAAGTTAATAGAATTATAAAAAAATAGTTAAAAACGAAAATTTCTATGAAAATTAACATATTTTCATATGAGTTTACATGCGAAATTTAAATTCATATACTTTTTCTCAGAAATTTTATTATTATTTTGAATAATTTTCGTGAAATATAATTTTCGTGAATTATAACAGTATTATGGCGGTTATGCAAGGTTCTAGGTTCCAGGAATATAATATAACTGATTTTAATTTTTAATTTATAAAATTGAAAAAGATTATTTTATGAATTTATTATAATAAATAAATTTTAAGAAGGTTATAGTTTTGATTATAAATAAGTTTAATAAAACTGTTAAATTAAAAATACTTAAAATTATTTGAAAAATAATAAAAAAAAATATATTAAAAGACAATAAAAAACAGTAATTTGTTCTTTTTTCTAATGTAAATTAAAATAAAATTTGTAAAGGGTGGATTAATAAGTGAAGATAAATTGTGATTAAGTGTCACTCGATATTAACAAAATAGTTGCTTATTAATAGCTTTGTAAATAAATTTGTAATTAGAAAATAAAATAAATTTGCTAAAATTTTGCTTTTGGAAGAAATCATTTTGAATTGAAATCACTTTTGAATTTAAATAATAAAAATAATAAAAAAAAATTAACATATACAAAAGTATAACTAAAAATACAAGAAAAAAAAATAAAAATAATAATTTTAATGATATAAAATTATTTAGTGATTCAAGATAAGATTTGGTGGTTTTATTTGCTTACTTTACAAATATAAATTTGAAAGGCGATAATTTAGTGCATATTAATTCAAAATATTAAGTCATTTAATAAAAAAATATCTACAAAATATCTAAAAATCGCAAAGTAATATGTACTTAATTTAGATTACTAGTAATATTAATTTTGATGTATAGAAAATTTTCAATATTATAAAATTTTGCAAGTCTGACTTCAAAAATTCAATAATACGGTATAAATACACAATTCGTCAATTACAATTCATCATATGAATTCTATATTAATGAAGTATTTTTGAAATTTTGAGGTCAGGAGAACTTTAAAATATAGATTTGATAGTAATTTTACTTATTCAGCAAGTGTATTGCATTTCCAAATTAATAATAATAATTACTTTATTTTTATTTAGCAAATAAAATGCTATTGCTGAAGCTTATAAGAGATTTGAGTTAAGGTGGAAGTTCTTATTTTCGAATTAATTTTTATTTATGGTTTTATTATTACAATATGAAGATTTTTAAAATAAATTAATTATATTGTATAAAATTTAGCATGCACAAAATTATCGTTTTTCTTAAATTAAATTATTATACAAAATTTTGTATCGTTCTGTGAATATGAGTAACAAATTTTATAATTTATTATTTTAATGAAATTTATTTTAAATTTATACAAATCAGTTCTCCTTTTGAATTTTATTAAATTTATTTTGTTTTATATAACATTTAGATTTGTCTTTAAATATTAACACGTACACAATATATTTATTCTATAATAGACTATAATAATAAAATTTTAAATTTCTACTTAATTTATAATGTTTTTTTTTTTATATAATATATGAATACAAATTTTCTAACTATAGCACGAGTTTATCTTAAAAATTTATTAAAAAAACAAAAAGCTTTTATTTTTAAATTTTTTACAACAAAAGTTTTTCGATTTATTTTTGTTTTCCATTTCCCTAAAACAAAAAGCAAAAACAAAATTCTTTTATGAAAATCATCCATTCATGTTTTTATATAAAAATTAAAAATAAAAATTCTAAATAATTTAAAAACTAATCTCCATGGGCTAGTTTTGCCTCATCGGTATTATCCCATATTGTGCTGCTTGATTTTGTTGTTGCATATGTTGTTGTTGATGTTGTGGTGGGGGTGGTAATTGTCCAGTACTTTGTCCACCAATTTGTGGTTTTGTTGAATATGTTACAGTCTGTTGTTGTCTCTCTCCAACACCAACTCCTGTTTGGCAATTACCATTTCCACTTGATATTTTTCTTTCACATGTTCTTATTTGTTGTTGCTGCTGTTGCTGCTGTTGTTGTTGTTGATGTCCAACTCCCCCAGTTTGTTGTGGTGGAGGAGCATACATAATAATTTCACCAGTATTACCACCATTACCTGTTTGATTTGGATTTCTAGCTGGTGGGGTTATAGCTGAACCATGATAAGAACCATATGAGCTATCGTCAGATTGTGCTGATTGACCTCGAGGTCGTTGACCGTTCGTACCATACATTGATTCAGGTCTGCCTGATCGTGTTGAATATTTTATAACAGAATCATCTGTACTAGTTGTTCCACTATTTATTAATGTATTACAACGTGTTTCGAATTTAACATTCCCATCAAGCGGGGCTGGATTGTGTCTAGTACCATAGACTGGTTGGAAACCAATATTATCTGAATGTTGTTGTTGATTTTGTTGCTGTTGTTGTTGCGGTTGATGATGAGTTTGATGTTGTTGCTGTTGTTGCTGCTGTTGTTGTTGATGTTGTGTCATATTACTACCTCCTGATGCAGTACCCTGACGAGTTGATCCTCTAATACCATATATACTTTCAGAGCGTTGTTGCATTTGATTTTGTAAATTTTGATTTTGTAAATGAGAATTTTGTGTTTGAGCCAAACGCATTGGATATAAACTTTGGGCAGGTACTAATGGACCAGGTCTTGGAATAATATCACGATTTATAGCAGTATTACTTTTAGCATAAACAGATTGTGAACGATTTAAATTAGCACGTGGCATTGGTGGTGAACGACAATAAAGTGAACGTGTACCACCATATAATGGTTCTGTTGGTTCAATTTTTGACATTGGTGTTGTTGTATAAAAATTTTGACAATAACCGCCTTGTTGTGTTAATGTACCTGTTGGTTGACGGTAAGTAGAACCTTGGAATTTTGGATTTTGCATTGATGATGGTTTTTCTAAATCTAAATCATAATTAAGATCATCTTCCGAATGTATACTTGATGAATCATTTTCTAAATTATCTTTGGTTTTCTTTAAATTTCGTCGGGAATTAAATATATATTCGTATATAATACCAGAAAATGCACCACCAACCATTGGACCAAACCAATATACCCAATGATGATCCCATTTATTCAATACGAAAGATGGTCCTAATGATCTTGCTGGATTAAGATATGGCATCTATAATAGAAAATAAAAGAAAAGAAGAAGTTAGTCAAATTAATGTTGTTAACTTTTATAATTTATTAAAATAATTTTTTTATATATCCTTTTGAATAAAAGTTATTTTTAAATATTTAAAGCTGAAAAACTTTTACTATAACTTGTACAAATCCCTAACCAAGTTTTGTGTCATGTTAAATAAAATAGTATGATCATAAAGTATAAAGAAGATTTTCATATCCTTTTAATATTTCAATGCATTTATAAAATATAGGATCTTGAACATACCTAGGCAAATAGTGAAAAAGTAAATGTTCTTGTAAATAAATTTCATTTAAAATGTTCTTTCTTTTTTTTCGTTGTTGTATTTCCTGCCAAGAGCCATTTATCTGAATAAAAATCGACCAAAAGTATTTAAAATTTCCAGGAAGATATTGTGTTATGGATAAAAATTCTTTTAAAATTCAATCCACATATGCAATTCGTTTTCAAAAAAAAAATACCACACTAAAGGAATTTTTGTGCTTTTTTTCATTAAGGAAGAAGGATAGATCTCTTATCGTATATTTGAAATGCCTGTACGTGAATTTTTGATTTTATTAAGTTTCTCTTTGGAAACACCTTTATTTTTTTTAAAGAATGTTACCTACATACATCTGAAATTTCATGGTAAAATTTACCATACATAAACCGTATTGTATAATATGCATTTATAAAACAAAAACGTAAGATTATGTAAGTGCATATGTGAATATTAACAAATCAATTTTCATTTTATTCTACTTATATTCAATAGACAGTCTTTTATAATTAAACATGAATCTTTTCTAAATTATTTCAACGTCAATAAACATCAAAAAGGAGTAAAAGAATAAGTAAAAACTTATACGAATTTCACTAAAAAGGAAACAAAAAAAAAAAGAACTTAAAAAATTTTGGAAATAGTTTGAAATTTTCCTTCTTCAGAAAGATTCAATAAAATTTGTTTTATAAAATAATGAAGACTAGCTACATATAAATAAAAGAAAATTGAATTATTCGAAAAAAAGAATTCCTAACCCAAACTAGTTTTAATATATTTCACTCAAATAGGGGAATTTTTAAAAGTTTTTCATTAACGTAGACTATGAAGACGGACAATGTGAAGAACTTCTGAGTTACTCCTGGAATATGCATAGAACCATGTACACTAACTTAAGGATTCGCGCTTACAATTAAATAAAGACACGACTTCGACTTTAAGCAGAAGTAGAATACCAAAAAATTTTTGGAATCAAATAGAATAAAACAAAAATTCCAAATAAATTTTAAAAGCATTTCTTTAGAATTGATGATAAATTTTAAAATAGTTGGGATTTTTTAAATTCATAAAATTTTAATTTTTATAATAAATAATGAAAAGTTTTCTGATTGTTGTCTATTGTACTCGTATACATTACTTTCCAAATGCAAGTACAACCATAAGTAGTGTGTACAATAAAAAATTATAATTTTGTTGCCAAAAAATTAATGCCAAATTTTTATGAGAATTTTGTTTTAAACTGGGCAATAAGCAAACAAAAAGAAAATCAAACAAATAAATAAAAATGAATTTGTGTTGAAAGAGCAAAAATATTGCATTTATTTTAATATTACACAAAATGAATGTATGTGTATACGTATATGTATGTATATTTGCGAGCACATTCAACGATTGTGAAAATTTGTTTGTGCATTTTTCATTGAAATTTATAATATTTCTTTTTTAATTTACAAATAATTTTTAACAATGTGAAAATAATCTTTAGTTATGTTTAAAATTAATGTTTTGACAAATGCTTTAATGCTTCTTAAGTAAATTCAAAACAGAATTTAAAAGAGATGAGCGAGTATCTTTTGGGGCAAAATAAACAATAAACATATTTTGATTGGATTTTGTTTGACGGTATGAAGAATACCGTCAAACAAAAATAAGAAGGATAGTCTTATTTTAATTAAATCAAACAAATCACAAAAATAATGTTTGATAGTGTAACGTACACCGTAAACATTATTTGTTTGGTTGCTTGTAACTTGAAAACTTCATCATATCAAACATTGAAAATTAAATTTTCTATAACTTAAACCCCATTTTTTTTAAAAAGTTGCTATAAAATTTTTTTTGCAAGTTTACTAGTTTGCAAGAAATTTCTGTATTTTATTTACAAGTAGAGTATAGTTCAATGTTAGTCATTCATACACGTAGTGGTTAAAAATTAAATACTAAAAAATTAACAAGAAAAATTTCTTTTTTCTGAATATTTGTTTCTTCTCTTTTAATTTTTTTTAATCAAATTTTATCAATATTTACAAATTTTAATGAAGGGTGTGGGTTTCAGATGCCTTTTTTTCTTTTTTTTTGTTTTTTGTGAAACCGCAACTTTTAATGTTATAAGTTTTTTTCAATACGAAATGGTGTTGTAAAGTTCAAAGTGTGTTTTATTCACATAAGAAAAAAAAATTTTTTTTTGCTAACTGACATGAGAGGAGACCTTTCAAAAGATTCAGAAACCTTTCAAAATTTTTCATTCATTATTCGATTTTATGAATTTAGGGAATATTTAATAATATTAAGAAAATATTATTTTATTTTGGAATAAAAAAAAAATTAACTTAAGATAAGCGTTTAAGTTATCGCAGGGGTTGGTAAGTAAATCAAAAATACCGGGAAAATAACTCAAACTGCTACTAGCTGCAAATACATAGTTTCAAAATCGAGGGCTGCTTTGCATGGAAATCCTGTTATATAAGAATAGAAGTTGCAAAAATGTAATGGGATCAATAGAAATAAAATTGCCTGATTACTTATTTAGAACTCCTTTGTACGCAGTAACGCAATTTAGAATATTGCATACGTTTTTGGTTTATGTAAACGAGTATTCATTCAAATTTTTTTGGTTCGAAAATTTTTTATAGAAACTTTTCCGTATCTAAAATCTTATGAGAAGAAACTTTTCCGTATTTTATAGTTTATGAGAAGAAACGTTGTTATGATGTTATGTGTGCAACTCTTACTTTTATTTTTAGGGCATTTAACATTATTTTGACTCCACATACTTATTAAAACCGTTACCAAGATTTGAACTTTTTAACCTACTGATTAAAATTAAAATTATTTTATTTCGTTATGATTCAGAAATAAAAAAGAAATAAAAAACAGGGAATCAAGTAAATCATTGGATTGTGTAAATGTGCAATTATTTTCCTTGATTTTGCAACTGTAAGACGTTATATATACATATGTATGTACATATACATAATTATGAGCAACAGTAAATAATGTTAGGGTTTAATCATTAATTTTATTCCAACTTCATACCTTTATAATATAAAAAAAAAGCGTCTCATACAGACGCACATATGTATTACGTGTACTTTTTTTATTCAGCTGGTTAAACATATTTTACAAAATTTCAATCAAGATAATTGCGGGTACATAAATTTAAAAAAATAAGGATTTTATTTAATGTATGAGTCAACTATTTTTAAAAGTAATAATCATACAAATAGTATTTTTAAATTTATCGTATAATAATTCTGTGAAATTTTTTCAAAACCCTATCGCCAAACTCGTATAATAACTGTTTTTATATAAGTATAACACTTATATTGTTTTATTAATGGGAAGTTTTAAATGGCTGGCCTCATCGAGTTTTGGCTATATAAAAATTTGATAACTTGCATATTTTAGACAATACAAATTAAAATTGGGAAAAGAGGGGTTTATTGGCCAAGTTTTAATTATGTATTGCGATTTGTTTTATTCGTGTCTAATTATTGAATTAACAAATAATTGCGCTTCTTTTAAAGAGATTATTTCGCTTCCTCCTCTCATTCTTGTGTATAACATATGTAAGCATAATTTTTTACCATTGGAAACGAAGGAACAAGCTCTTTATATTTTAAATTTTAGAATAAAATTCTAAAAACCGGTTCATTATACATACAGATATAATTATATTACTTACTGTACAATCAAAAGCGTAATTTAGGTTTATCATGTTGTACGAATGCGTAATGGTATTATTCTTTAAAATTTTAATTCTGATATAATCTGCAACAAATTTCTGATACTTTTATATTATTTGAATGTTAAAGAAAACCCTTTTGATGGATTATATACCTTTAAATATTGGAGTACAAACTAGCGATTTATTAATCTTGCACAAAAAAAATCTAAAAGGAAACAAGAGACAAAAGGTAAATTCGAGTAACTGAAGTAAACTAGCATACTAACCTGCACAAGTTTTTACCTGACTTTAAATCAAAAAAAAATTAAGTTTTAAAAGAGAGCATATGTAATTTTTTGAAATAAGGTTAAAATATGTATCTTGTTTGCAATTTAATAACAAAGAAAAAAGAAAAAAAGATGCCATAAGTTGGATGGTTACGAATGAATATGAATAAATTAAAAAAAGGACCAAAACTGTGTAATACAGAAAACCATAAGAATTATAATGAAAAGAAGGAAGAGAAAATAAAAACAACTGACAGGTGTTTTATTAAAGTACGATCAAATTGTTATATTTATTTGTCTTCAAAAGCGCAGATTGCAAGTTCTTATGCGGCACATTGAAAAATCTGTAATTTATTATTACTATACCTACATAAAGTTACTTAAAAATAGAAAAAACAGATGTATATGTAGGTTTATGATGGCGTTTTAAAAATGCATCGAGAAAACAAAAACTTATATTGCGCCGGAGACAATGATTATTTTCAAAAATTTAGGAAAAGTGTTTCTTTGACACCGTTTTTAAATTAATTGGACTCAATTATAAATTCAATAAAATGTAAAATTAATAAATTTTAAAATTTTTAGTATAACAATTTAAATTTTCGTTTTAACAATTTAAAATTTTGAGTATAACAGTTTCACATAAAATTCCAGCATAACATTTAAAGTATTATTTATATTTAGATTCAAAAACTTAATTAATTTTTTTTTGTAATTTAATTGCTTTAGTTTATGGATAAGAAAAATTTACATAATAAAAAAGAACAAATCTAATTCCTCTATAGCTTTTTTACGATTAAATTTGTAAAAAACTAAAAATGTTTACATTATTTAATTTGAATAAAATCAAATACATAGCAAATCTATTTGAGAAAAATTTTCGTTTACATTTAAGATTATTGAAATAAAAGCGTAAATTGTATTTGACTTATTTTGATAATAAAAAGAAAAATTTGCATATATGTAAGTAACACACATTTTGTATATATAAAACACTTACCGATACAAAACTACATGCACTGTATGCAGCTCCAATAGCTAATGATGCATTCCCTAAATATTTTTTATATGAATCCATTGATACGAAATATGCTAAAACAACAATAAATGTTAAAATGAATTCAACACCAAAACGTTCCCATGCTGCTAATGTTGCACTATGTGCTATCGCTGCTTGTAAATTTCCTTGATATCCTGGTACAGTAACACTAAAAATAAAAAATTCAAAAAAAAAAGAGAATATTTCAATCCCAATTTATTTTAAGAAAATTTATAGAGAAATTTTTGTTTTCTTTTTAAATTTTATTTAAAAGTACCTACATATGTAAACATTTCTTATATAATAATAATATTTGCACATTTATTAAAATATATTTGTATACATGGAAGTATATAGAGAATTTTGTGACAGAAAATAAAATTTTGAAAATTTCTTTATAAATTTGTTTTGATTCCATCAAGTTAGTTGTCACAATTTGAAAAATGTAAAAAATTATCCAAGAAAAAAGCTGATGCAAGCAACACTAAGCATATATTCATTTACACCGTATGTAACGTATATACCTACATGTACATGCTTTCTAAATAATTGAAAATAGAAAAAATTTATTCTTGTTAAAATAGTAAAACGATAAAATTTTAGATGAAAAAAGGATTTTTCGATTATATTAATAAACATCGAGATGAAAATCCTCTACAAAATAAAATTTCAAGAAAATTCACTTAAAAGAAAAATTTAAAATGAAAAACATTAATTCTAATAAATATTCAGCATCTGAAATCAAATCTTTAAGTTGATCAATTCTCTTAAATTACTGAATAATGTTCAAGAGTGAACCAATAGACATGTCAGCATAGTGATATATACCCACTATATTATGTTATTGACAGAAAAGTAAAAAAATTTACAATTTGCAAAAAAAACATAAGAGTAATTTAAATAGGTTTTGATTTCAATAAATTGTATTTATTTTGTATACTTTCATTCAATTTTGTTAATTATATGTTAAGTAATCATTTTAAAACTCCCAATTTATCGAATCACATAATATGATTTCCAAAAGTATTCCATGGAATATTTTCAATCTCTACTTTGAGTTTTTTGAAAATTGTTTGCTATACGATTCGAATTGGAAAATAAAACTAATAACTTTGCTAGTAGGGGAAACTTTGTTAAAAAATATTAAAATATTTTAAGAAATAGGATAATTATCTAAGATAAACTTAAATAATATACGTACAATTAAATAAATATATCTTTTTAATTTTTTAAGTTGAGAAATCATTTCTCAATAAGTAGTATGAATTTTTTTCTATCAGTCCTGACACATATTATTTTGAAAGAATATCTATTAAAATATAGCAAGTAAATTAAGCAAATTGTAAAAAAAAACCTGCATATATTAGAGAATATGATTATTTTGTATTATGATAAAGATATAAAAAAAAAAAATTTCAATTTAAAAAGTTTAGCATAGTTTTGTGTAAATACCTACCCAGGTGCTTTTATCTATGTAAGTAATGACTATTGAATTGGGTACATTTGGATAATCGAATGTCCAAAAAAATTTATTTTTTAATTTTAAGATTACAATAAAAGATTTATTGAATATTAAGTTACGGTTTATGAAAGAAAATTCTTTTTCAAATATACAAAATAAATTCACCTACTTTTTAATATTCTTCTTATCTTTTATAATCTCTAAAAAAAATGTTAACGTTAGTCTAATATCCTTCTCCTTTGCCCTATTTCGTTTATACTTTATGTACATGTGTATATTATGGCTAATACGAAAAAATTGTTGATTTTTAATATTTTATACTTAAAATAGTTTTTTACATAAAAGAAATAATGACTTAAAAAAATTTCAGTTGAATAAATACATGATACTCACAATCCCTAGAATTCAGTCTCTCGAAAAATCAATCTGTAGTAAAGGCTCAGTTTTTAGACGGAACTGGTGTAAAGATAGGCATTTTCAGTAAATTTTGTCTTCAGTTGAAAATGTGACACAAGAGTACGCAAACTGACTTTTTGTGCTGTTTCATCACGGAAAAGTTCATTTCTATTTCAAAACTTAAATGTGAAATTTCGTGTGGAAGTTAGACCTCCCTTGTTGTAATGCGACACGATCAGAAAAAATAAGAAATATGTATGTATATTACTGCGTAATTAAAAAAATTTCTATTTTCTTCATCATTTTTTATTTTTCATATTTAAATTTCTCAGCGTGAATATTTTCAATTTGATTTTACTCGAAAAATTTTCTGTATTTTTCAATATCCTTACAGTGTCTAATATACGCACATAAGCACTTTTATATAATATAAATTTCACTTTAGAAAAACAACATCAAAATAGAGAAAATTGGAAATACCAGCAAAACACAAATATCAAAATGCCTATTGAAATGAAAATATTAAAATTCATTTCATATCAGTTGTCATTATCATGAATATTTTCTATCACTACACTGTATGTATTTACATCACATTATAACAATATAAAAATATAACTCACGTAGTCCAAAAATAACAATATTGTAAACTGTAATATTAGAATTAAGTTTCATGATATATTACTTACTACTACTTACTAGCTGTAGCCTGTAGCTTTCAAATAAAATGAAAAGACAATAAAATAGAAAGAAAAAGAATAATGATGTTAAAAGCTAATGCAGAACAGCAGTACCAAAAACTAGCTCGACTTAAAAATCATTTGCATTACGCTGTTTGAAAGATTGAAATAACAAAACAATATATAATACTTGCCAGCTAATGTCAAACTCAAGTCGATTTCAAGTAGTATTAGGTCTAACTGGTATAAGAAAATTTTTAAAAACTTGATAAAACTTAAAAAAACTTTATAAAGTTTTAGTATGGAAAACATCTGGTATACTTTTTGAGAAAAATTAGAGAAAATGATGATGTCATTGTTTTCTCAATGCTTAATTTTTTTTTAATGTGTTAAAAAATTTTGAAATCGTAAAACTGTCAAAACGTGTGTTCTCTTTTATGTATCTACTGTTTATGTTTGTTAAATATATCAAAATTTGATGTTTATTATATAAGCTTTTAAAAGTTCTTTCAACTTTTCCGTCTGGTTTATTTTTTTTTAAATCAGATTTTTTTTTCTTTGCGAGAAGTTTTATAATAGACAGACTTATTATTTCAATCTGTACATACGTAAATTGAAATTTCAAGTCCTGTACTCGATTCGTCATATAAAGGAAGTATATTAATCAACTTGGAGCACTAACTAAGTGCGCTTATGGCTTTATGACATAATATGTCATTTCTTCTAGGTGTCTTCTAGGTGTTTCGTTCTAATTCCCCACTTTTTTTATTTAAATTTAAATTGAAGTTCTCGAAGGGTTCGTGAAGATTTTTTTTTATCAAATCTTCGAAATGAAGAATTTATTTTCAAAAAATGAAAATATTTGGGCTAATCTATTTGGCAGCGCTGGTGCAGAATGTTACAGACACGAGCTTATTTTGATAACATACTGTTATTTAATGAGCTCTATTTAATTAATCATTTCCTTAAAATAGCACACCATTCCTCTCTTGCAAAAAAAATATTTTACTCAATTTTTTTAATGTAAAACAAGTTTTTATTTTTTTCTGACATAATATGTATTTTTTATATATATGTATAATATAAAGTTTAGTTTAGGTTCTCTTACGCAAAATTTAGTTTCTCTCACGTCAAAAATGACTCAAACAATTGCTGGAAATAAAACGTTTTTTAGTGAAAACTCATGCTGGAGGGACAAAGTTTATTATTTGTTAGTAAATTACTGATTAAGATTTGATAGGATCTCAAGTCATAAAATTCACCTTTTACAATGACTGAATTTTTTCTTTTACTTTCATAGTGGAAAAAAATTGTCATTCATTTTCTTTTTTCCTTTTTTTATAGGTTTCATATTATTTCGAATTTTTTCAACATTATTGAATATTGAATGTTGTTGTATTTATAAATGTCATTTCTGCCGACCATCTACATATATACATACATATGTATATAAAATAAATACGAAAATCTATAAATTACAACGAAAAAGAACAAGGTATTTCAATGCTTAAGAAATTTATAAAAAAAAATGTTTTGTTTTTAGTTTGCACAAACATTTAATGACGATTTAAGAGTAGTACGAGCTGTTCGTTAAAAAAATATTTAAGATAAAAGTGAAATGTCTAAATAATGTTAAATGGAATACCATATGTATGTATGTATGAACGCGAAGACATTTCTTTTTATTGATATTTTAGCGTGAGAAAATCTCAGTAAATAATTTTTTCCCTATACATATTATATATTGTGACTCATTATGGACAATCAATAAAAAATTACATACAATTAATAAAATAAAATGGTATGTCACAATTACTTGATTACTACAAATGCCTTTCGGTAAATATGTATTGTACTGTATGTAATGTATTCGGTATAATTCGGTAAAGCATTTGTAGTAGCATTTGTAATAATGTAAATAAAGCCATTTGTATTTAATATGTGTGTTTAATTATAAGGGTTAATTGACGATCAAAATGTCAAAATTTTTAATACATGAAGGTTAACAACTACACAACTTGAAGTATAAGAGCTAATCTGTCTTGTACACATAACAATTTATAAACGGTAGGTGAAAGAGATAAACATTATAGTTTATCAAAAATTCATTTGAACAATGATCAATACAAAAATTCAACAAAACTGATATAGTAGCTATAGATATAGTGTTACTGTTTAAAAAAAATTACAACACTGTGTCGTTACAAGTGGCAGCACTGGTTACGCGCATAACACCCGCAACCACATAAGTTGTTGGTTATACAGGTGGTTAAAACTTTATACACATGTTAAGCCTTACGCAAATTTATTCCGGTAGACGGACATAACATAGAAAACAAATGTCATGCAAAACGGCGTTCTATATTAAAATTATTCCAATTACTCTGTTCGGAATATGCTGAATTCCTGAAAAATGACTACACAACAATAACTACACTCAATTATGTCAACGTATATTTTTTATTCGGTACTTTTAAATAATACAATTTCCATAAAAATAACGCCAATTATATTTTTGCATATTACATATTATGTATGTGTGTATACATATTATGTATGTTTGCATATCTTCATGCAAACACTGCCACATGTGGGCAGAACTGAATCATACGATTGTTTGGGGAGTAAATT